ACGCTGATGTAAGGCTCGCAATACAGTGAGCAGTGCAGCGTCCACTTCTGAATCCCGCTATTTCAGGTGGCAGTGCTTCAATGTCGTCAAGGTACCACTGGAGACGCGTAAGCACCAAGCGTTCTAGAAGTTTCCCAGCACACGAGGTCAAAGATATTGGGCGGTACGATGACAATTCCGACGAAGGCTTGCCTCGTTTTAAAATGGGGGTTACTACAGCATGCTTCCATTCTTGCGGAAGAATACCAGTAGTCCAAGCCAAATTTAAGCGCTCGAGCAAGACGACGCGTGACTTGTCACTCAGGTTACGCAATGCTTGGTAGGTGATGCCATCAAACCCAGGAGCACTGTGGCGTTTGCATTTCCTAAGAGCCGCATCTAGTTCCGACATAGTGAAAGGATGATCCATACTCTCCGGACTCCGTGCAGGACCAGTCAGTGATCGAGAATATGAAGATCCAGAAGGTCGTTGGGGTACAATGAAGCGCACCGCAAAATCATCTGCAAGTCGTGATAATTCAAGGCCAGTTTTAAGACTGAGGGCGATGAACAAATCTCGAGGTGTTGGAGAGCAGCCCATACCTCTCAGTACTTTGTAAATCTTTGGTTTAGGTGTACATGGAGTTAATGACGAAGCAAATTGACGAAATTGTCGACGGCGAAGTACGCGAGTGTGACGGAGTAAAGCTGACGTAACACGACGACACTCTATCCAATGGGGGACCTTGCCAGATCGGCGCGCACGACGCTGAGTGCGGCGGCGAACAGCACGTAAGCGTACGAACTTCAAATCCGGGGACGGCTGAGATATCCTTAAAGATATTTTATATGTTGATTGAACGAGACATGCAGGAATAGCTTTTAATATATCCTCTGACGGCTCAAGAAAGCGAACATTTGCGCGAAATACGTCCCAGTTGGTTACACTGTATTGACGACGTGGGAGGCGGGTCACTTCGGGTATATTCATCAAAATTGGAAGATGATCGCTTCCACGTGTGTCCGCGTCCAACGACCAGTACACGTCTAGATTGGGGGAAGCGAGAGTAAGGTCCAGCACGCTAGGTTCTCCGCGATGACCAAAAAATGTAGGAGAGCCGTCATTCAGAATAATCAAATCTGTTGATTCAATCTCATCTGCGAGAGCCGTACCCCGAGGCGTCGTGCGTTTACTACCCCAGAGAGGATGGTGTGCGTTAAAATCTCCGCATATAAGGAGACGACCAGGAAATTGAAGACGTAGGCTACTAATGCAATTCGCATCAAAGCGACCAGTAGGACATATATATACAGACACAATGGTCATCTTAAAGGAGCGAAATATGACCGTGCATGCTGCAAATTCAGCAGTTTCTGTACACAGATGGGACACACCTTCTGCAGCTTGCTGCACACTTGAGTGAACAAAGAGTGATGCCCATGATGAGCTGTTAGGCGTGGCCGCCGCGCTTGGGTAATGGACATAGGGCTGAATTCGAGAGCCATGTCTGAGGCGGCATTCCGAAATTGCAAGTATAGGTACCGGCTGAGATGAAAGGTAATACTGAAACTCTGCTAATTTAGAAGTGATGCTGCGGGCGTTCCATTGTAAGATAGATGGGCAGGAAGCCATAAAAATAAAAATGAGCAGAGTAAAAACTTTCATTGCAGAAAACTTTTGACCAAGGGCTCTATAAGTGTGATCAAATTCAGGAGCTGGTTTGCCCATGGATACTGTAGAAGCGGGAGAAACTGTCGCGCTATGACGAGCATTTGGCGTACGAAGCTATCTAACGAGGAAGTGAGGGTGCTTGGATTTGGGAGGGACGGTATCGCCTCCTGTCCAACACTTAGAGGAGCTTGAGTGGTCGGGAGTACAGGTCCGACCTGAACTGGTGGTGACGACGGTGGGGGCTCGTTTTGCAGCGCTGCTTTGTAGCTTTTTCGCACGTTGTTCTCGCCGGAGGAGACAAGGGCAGGTGCTTCCTTAGGCGCAGGCTCTGTGTCCATTGGCTTCGGGGCTTCGGCGACAAGCGATGATGGCGGGTCTTGTTTGTCTGCAATATGTTGTTCCGCCTGGCGTCGTCGAGAATGACGTCGCCTCCGTTGAAGTTTTTCAGTTAGAACAACCATCTCTGTTACAGCTTCGGTTCGTGGAGCCGCCCGCTCGGCCGTACGTTTGTCCACTTGGGCTCGTGCTTCTGCGAAGGAAACATTGTTCTCGCAGCGATAGCGACACACGGAGCGCTCAGCTTGCCAGAATGGGCACTGTTGTGACGTTGTTTCATGTGGTTTCTTGCAGTTGACGCAAAGAGTGCTCGAGCCTTTGCATTCCGTAGTTGCGTGAGGCTCTGCGCATCGGAGGCAAGTTAGCGACCGCTTACACACAGCCGCAACATGACCAAACAAACCGCATCGGTGGCATTGGATGGGGTTGTTGACATACAAGTCGACGCTATGTCGAACCAGGCCGACGTAGACGTGCTCAGGAAGTGTAGGGGAAGCAAACTCAACTCGAATAGTAGTGGACTTGCCGATGCGACGGACGTTGCGGATGCCTACTGTTGAGCGCAAAACTCCGAGTATTGCGGAGTCAGAAAGGGTGCTGTCAATGTCGCGGACAATTCCAACGCTGGAGGCCTTTCCACGAGGCTCGAAAGCACGCACTTTCATACCGCAAAGCGTGTCTGGCCAAGGAGAGTACGTGTCGTCTGTCCATTCAGCGTGTCAATCGCTAGGAGATTCTTCCGCCTGTTAAAGCGCACCTCAATAACACACGAAGGCACGAGCGTCTCCAGAGTGGACGTGAGGTGAACCGAAGTGATGGAGTCAAATCTTACATCTTTATCCACAGGAGTGAAAAGAACTACGAGACCGACAGTGGGCTCGGTTTGGGTGATGATAGTCTGCTCGCTAGAACCAGAGCCTTGACTTGGGCAGCGTCTCTTTGTTCCGCGGACGACATCCTGGAACGCACCTTGATTGTCGTCGGCAATTGAGCCCGAAACGCTGGCAAGTTCTTCGTCGTCAGGCGGGAGCGGTTCCGCCATGGCGGCGACTAAGGACGTTGAAATTTCCATGCCTTGCCGGCTGGAGTGCCGCTCAACGGGCAAGCCAGAACCTTGCAAGCCAGCAAGAACTGCTTATGATGAAGTGAGAAAAACAAAATACTCACTGGCGATGGGCAACGTAGTAGCAGTAAGGAGAGAAAATAGGAGCGAATGGAATACACGTCCGCTATGTGACTTTCTCTTCTTCCTTTTCCACACCATCATGGTGTTCGCTGTGTTTCTGTACGTGTTCTATCACCGCTGAACCAATCAAACAAAAAAAGGTCTATTGACTTACGCTTTTTACGCTGCTTGATTGGACCCGTTAACTCGTAGCTTCGTCTGCGTCTGGATTGAAGCGGAAACGAAGTATTTGCACTAAATCAGTAATTATTGCACTCATTCCACATACCTTCAAATTTTGCCTGTCTTTACCACGCAATGTCTCCCTTTAGAAAAATCCCCAAAGCCCACGCCCTTTGTACCAGTGTCGAAACACGCTGTCACCGACAATTTATAAATAAAATGTTACGCAAAAGTAACGTGCGTTGCGTTTTATCGCTAACGGTAACGCGCCCTTTCTATTTAGACATTTTAGCAGGTCGTTTCCACACGAACGATTCGCCCTCGAACAGATCGGCGACGCCACTGCGCATGCACGCGCGAGTGGATCGGGGCGTTAGGAGGCTCTTCTGGTTCGTTTCTCCCATTTCGGCAGCTGGAGTCGTCACCACAACGCAGCCAGACCCGTTCACGGCTCGGGTAAAAAAAACAAAAGAAGAAGCCGGTCGATTTGGCGGCTGACTTCGCCGACTCAGCCGAGCGCTAGGCTTAGAACAGCGGGAGGGGATTTGCCATCCTGTTAGTCTGCTTCATTTGAGAGGTTGAACCAAATCATTTCGAGGACTGCTCACACTGGTAAACGATCGTGAATGCTGTAATCTGCGCATGCTGGTAAATTGTTGCGATCTGCGGGCAGGCTAGCTGCCGTGGCGACCGCGAGAAGACGAAATTATTTGGTTCGACAGCACACAACGTGACCGATCGTTCAATTTCAAGATGATGGAGACACACCACATACATTGGTGGTCGTTCAGATACTTTTTACTTTATGTAGCTTCGAAGTTCTTGAAATTCCGACCAGCAAATGTTACGTCGGCCGTCTTGTTTACATGAGTCGTACGCCGGAAACACGAGCCGCCACGAATTTACATGTTGCAGAATGTTTCACATCTTTACTATACTCGGCGACAGCTTTTCTTGGCAATGCAGTGGAAGGTACGTCCCGCGTTCCCTCTCCCATTTTGAGTGTACGCAAGCTCTCCTCCTTGCGTACACTCAAAATGGGAGAGGGGACGCGGGACGTACCTTCCACTGCATTGCCAAGAAAAGTTGTCACCGACTATAGAAGATGGCGCCAGCGTTCAAACACAATCATCATCAACGCTTACACGGTTGCCCCAGTTTCGCTATTCACTAAAATATGTCAAATTGCACGTACGGTTGCACGGAACAGACAGCTGCGCCGTTCGTGGTGTCAGAACCGTGGGCTCGAAAAAGGACTCGCTAAAACTCCCTATTAGGGAGTTTTATGTAGCTATAACTCCCTATTAGGGAGTATTAGTAGATCCTTTCCGCAGCCCGCTAAGCACCCTCATAGCGCTCCGTAATCCCCCAGAGGACCTTAAACTATGCAGACAAGGCTGGCGGCGCGAACGCGCAACTGCGGCGTTTTTTTTTTTTTTTTTTTTTTTTTTTTTTTTTTTTTTTTTTACGGATATTGTAGCGGAGGGGAAAAAAGATCTACTACAACTCCCTATTTTGAGGTGACGTAGGTCGGTAACGCGTCATTTATTTTGCGAGTGACGAGTAACGTATTTTGTTACTTTTTTTTTGCTAACGCCTACACCGCTGGTGAAAAACCACTAACTCGGCGTTGTCTCTTTGCCTGTCTGTTCGAAACCAATGTAGCGAGGCCTGCGTGGAGGACTGGCTCGAGATCTACGAGGTGTCCAGCAAGGGAGAGTCGAGCAAAGTGGGGCGCTACTGCGCTAAGACGGCCCCGGGTCCCATCGTGTCCGACGCCGGCGTCAACATGATGAAGGTCATCCTGCACACGGACAACGCCGGAGTCGCGGGAGGCTTCAGCGCCACCTACTACTTCCTCAAGGACGTCAACAAGTTCGGAGGTGCGCGGCGTGCCCGAACGGCTACCCTTTCACAAATTCAGTGCCATATATTGGATCAAATATCAGTCTAAATTTGTGTATGCTAAAGGCGCCTAAAATCTGCTACCTATCCGTCAACCGCAGACGTACCTAAGCCACGGTTTGCTTCGCTGTATAGTCGTATCTCTATTTCTTTCAGTTTCGATGGTATGTACCACTTTGTACTCTGTGCGACGCGCTTAGTTGAGCAAAACGCTCGTGTTTTCAGACCACGCTCTTTGTAGCGGGAGCTCGCGCTGCCACTTGCATGCTCTGAAGCACTCCCGTAACGGTAGCGGGCCTACGAAAACGATCTGCTAAAACTCCCTATTGCCATGAGCTGTTTGGAGCTTGCCGAAGCCGACCATTCCAAAGATTTACATGACACCCTCAAATGCGTAGCGCGCCTAGAAACTTATAACTTGTAAGTCTCGTCACGATGACATCGAACAACGATAGAGCGAACTAACTTCTAGAATGTTCAGGCTCCGCATCAGTGCCTGTCTTCAAGTTTTTTTCTCACCAGCCATCTAAACGCCACCATTACTATGTACAGATTAGATGCCCTAAAATGATGATAGCTATCGAAGTGGCTAGGAAAAATTCCGGAAATGGTCTATTTCAGCGCCCACAAGCGTACATATAATATCATAGTGTATCGGTAGAAATTGATGGTAAGAAGATGAGAACGTGCGGGGACGTCGTATGACTTTGTTCATGGTTGGAATCATAAGTGGGTAGACGAAAGGTCAGCCGCCTTTGTCCCTATTTGCTGTTCGAATGTGGTCGAAGATTTAGTAGAGACAAAGGCAGCTAGGTCTGCGTTTACCCCCTAATCATTCTAACCAGATCCCGGTCACCCTGTGTACAAAGGGCAGTCTACATACGATGTCTAAGGCACGTTTCTTCCTCGTATGACGGTCCTCTCTAACATTGGTCGTATAAAAACAGTCTGAAGATATGCTCGAAGCAGGCAAGTGTATGAAGCTCGAACATGCCTGTGTCGTGCGCGCAGATACCTTTGCCATCGAGTCTTGTTGCGTTCGATGGGGGTGATGACCTCAGGCGCGGAACCAAGAGTCGGGGCTGTGGCTCGCTGCTAGCATGACCCTGAGGAAACAGGCCTGGAGTGGGGCTACTGAAGTAGAACTTTTATGTACCATGAATATACAAGTAGCATGGTCGACTGGTTAATCGGCAATCGGCGACTTCGGGCTCCCTGAGCCCGTGTTATATAGCCCTCCGAGGGCGGGAAGGCCCTCTGAGAGAGAGGAACCTTCCCCGGTGTTTCGAGTGTTCATAAGGTGTCCTAAGTGCGGGGGCGGCTGATGCGATTTCCGGGTGTTCTTTCAGCGAGGGGCAGATGACGTAATCCCTCGACGTTCTTGCCGCGCTCCGGTGGCTGATGTAAGGAGTCGGCGTTCTTGCTGAAACCCAACACCGACAGACTCGCACGCCGGTGTTTCTCCTTGCGAGGGCCCGCGATTCCAGATGGTTTCGTGGCCTCCGGAAGACGTTCTTTTTGAGTTTAAATCCCCCAGCGAAGGCCGTCGCAACAGTCTGCAACTAACACCGTCTCCTTTGTATGATGTACCAGATGTGCGACTACGGCTATAGGTCACCTGCCTGCCCTGTTTCTCCAACAACGCTGAGAACAGTTTTTATTTTATTACTTTTTTTTTGTCTGGTTGCGCAGATTGCGGAGGCAACATCACGGGCGAGGAGAACGGGATGGTGACGAGCCCCGGGTACCCGAACGCCTACAAGAACGACCGGCAGATGTGCAACTGGTACATCACTGTGCGGCCGGGGCACAGGGTGCTGCTCTACTTCACGCTGTTTCTCATCGAGGGGGACCCCAAAGGTGCGGGCCCTGTCGAGAGTCACGTCGGGCGGCTACGCTCGGAGTAGAATCACGACACTCTTAAGAATTCTGGAGCGTCTACGTACGCTCAAAGGACTTCAAAGAAAGCCAATCGCTGCAATCTATGGAGGGACCTTGGCCAATGACGATGATGAAAATAAGTTTTAACCTAGTATTAAAAAAAAAAAAAACAGCCTGCGCTATGGAATTGAGCATGACGTTTCACCAAATTCCATGCTACACCTCACCGTTTTTTTTACGTTTAAGCATATTTTCAACATCGTGATTCGCCAAGCTTGCACCGTAGATTGCAGCGATTGGCTCTCTCCCAGGTGCTTTGAGGGAATAGATTTTCTCAGGCAGTTGTGCATGGGCGCTACCATAAGCGACCTTCAGTTTTTCTTTTCTCGTCTTCCGTTCGCTTCACTTCATCATTACCGCAGCAGCAGAACAGGTTAAATGACACTTTAGGTGCCACTGTGTACTCCTCACCAGCGTAGGCCTTTCTGGAGGCACGTCAACACCCGATTCATTGCAGGCACGTAGCCAGGATTTTTTTTTTTTTTTTTTTTTTTTTTTTTTGGGGGGGGGGGGGGGCCGTTAATGACAAAATGCTGCATGAAGGGGACGGGGGAGAGGAGGTACCAGCAGAGTCGAAGATTTCGGGGGGGGGGGGGGGGGGGGGGGGCCGGGCCCCATGGGCCGCCGCCCTGGCTACGTGCCTGCTTCACTGGCTCGGCATATTGGTAAGACAAGAAAAGGTCGGCAATGGCGGCTCTAATCTGGCGCGTGTTTAAAGAGGCCATGCAACGATATCCGCTTGAAATGTTTTTCACTTTACACAAGCTTACTGGCACTTGTGGAACTCAAGATATATACTCATACGCAACGCCACTGACCAAGAAACACCTTTGTTGCGCTGTAATTTCAAAGACAAACGTGAGCGTTTTCTTTCAATCTCTCCTTCGCAAAACTTTATGACGTAGCTGGGGGATCGCAGTGTTACCCAATGACGATATTTGGATACGGCTTATAGATTAGACCCAAGCTTTCCGTGAGCACTCGATTTGGGCTCGTGATAATCAATACACTCGACAAACACTCGGGTAGTGGGCCGTGTCCAATCGTTGAAATGACGCCGATAGCCGAACCATAAGCATGTCTAGTAGTAGTAGTATGCATTTGTTTTTCCTTGGGGGGGGGGGGGGGGGGGGGCGTTTGGGAAACCGGCTGTTGTCGGGGCGTACTGAGACGCCCATGTCACAGTCGAGAATGTCTGGAACTCAGCGCGTGTCCTGTGCTTTCCCAACGCCAGCGCGTGGCTATGATCACCATTGGCGTCATATAATCGGCTCCAGATCACGGGGCCGCTTGTTCTGGCTGCGAGTTGAGTAGGTAAATGCTGCTCGTTTTTTTTTTTTCATCTTTTCTGTGACTTCTATTGCCTCCGATGAAAATACGAATGCCTGTTTCCTAGGTCATTAACACCAGGGATTCGTTCTAAGCGGTATTTGCGAAAAGTACAAAAATTGTTGCGTCGCCTCTTTAAAGCGTTTATAGGCTAACGCGCTGTTTCCAAATAAGCCCAAACAAGGTCTGGGAAAACGTGCAGTTCCCACACGAGGCATGGGCACTTCGCGTGCGCAGGAACCAGATTCGCGCGAAGCGTCTGCGCCTGCGAACTGCCAATAGCAACGGCGTGGCGGCAGGGCCGCGTGTTGGTGTATATGGTCGCCGTCAGCTTAGAAAGCGCAGTGCGTGGCGAATCCTGAGTGCCTTATTACCGCTTCGCAAGCAAGGAGATTCCGGCATTTGATGATGAGATTGCGGAAGAACGAACCACGAAGCAGGAAGTGTGAACACAATATGCAGAGCCGTGCGGTTCTTAAGCTGCCGGTAACTCGAGTCAGGTTTCCTAGCGTATGGTCGTTGACGAGCTGAGAACGGCAGGGACGAGCTACAGTTGTCCTGCCTCCACAGCACGAGCTCCCTAACTTCGACAACGCTTCAGCGTCCCTTGCACATCGAGCGAGCGTGCGCGCAACCAAAGCATGGCGGAAGGCACGGAGCACGTGCTGGTGTCGAGGCCTTCGAATTCTGACTCTAGTGACTAACTGAGAGTATGTCCAGTTTTTGCCTCCCATTATACGACTTCTCCATCGCGTCACGTCACATCTACGCACAAGCGGGAACCGTCGGTTTTTGCCTACGCTCTCAAAACTCCTTCAGTGTTTACTCTCCGCAATGCACTTGGAACGCCAATCATTGGCGTTTTTTTCATTCATTTAGCCGATGAGATGGGTGAGCTGTGTCGCGTCCAATGCTCGCGCGGTCTCGGTGGCAAAAAAGGCGTCCACTCCTCTCGACCCTGACATCATGCGAAAGGCACAAGGTATTCGCGGCAGACACGATGACCGAAGTATCTGCAGACACGCCTCGAGTATGCGCGAATCATGTTTGCGTCACACATTTGTACGCCTGAAATTTGTTTGCAGACAGTTTTTGTTTGACCTTCAAGGAGGAAACACGCCTTTGTCTGCAGACTCTCCTTTGTACGATATATTGGCTTTGCGACAGCGGCTTTGAAGTATGGAACTGCTCGGCACTCTCACTAGTCAGTATGATTTGAGGCAAACGAGTCCTTGACGTTTCGACTGCGTCTTATTGCTGAGTGCACGCGGGGGCTCCTGAAAGTGTACTTCCCGCCTACTGGAATGGTGTCAGGTGGAGCCACTAAACGAGCTACGCTTAGAGTATCGACACTCTGTTCCCCGATATTGTTGTGGGCGCCGCCGTCTTGGTTCTTGCGCAGAGCAGAACCATTTGCCGATCGTCATGATTCAAAAGTGCGACTTCCTTGGCGTTAGATTTAGTGTTACGAAGCTCATGTAATATTGCTTGGCGTTTAAACATTTGAGGAGGACGGAAAAAAAAAAGCGTGTTCTGTGATTTATGTTAAAACTTCAGATAACTAGCAACCTTGATTTTGAGCCACAAGATGAGTAAGTGTCGTTACTCCGAAGCGTCTCTTATTTAGTGGCACCACTGATCTCTATGTCTATTTGCTGGATCGCGTTTGACCAGCTCCTCCTATGGACCGGAATGCGGTCACTGGCGGCCATCTTTAGGTAGAGTTATATCATCTCTAGCCATCATAGTAATATGGCGGACAGCGCAATGGCGGCAGGCTGCCATAAAAATAGCCGTAGATCTAGTACATTGTACCGTGGGTGACATTTCGTGCTTGATTGAAGTTGTTCGACGAAGCAGATTCTTGAAACCCGGCGTGAACGGTAGCCTCATCTTTGAGGACCCGATAAAAGTTCTACGAAAGCGTAGCACCAGGGGAAAGCAGCGCAGCTCGCATCAAAAGCAGACTCCGTACCGTCGTCTGCTTTCGATGCGACTTTCGATACGTGCTGTGCTGCTTTTCTCCCGGTGCTGTGATTTCGTGAAACTTTTACCAGGTCCTCAAAAACCGGACCACTGTTCACGCCGGGTTTCAAAAATATGTTTCGTCAAATAATTTTAATCAAGCACGCAATATCACCCACGCTATTTTGACCGCAGCCTGCCAACCCACCTGCCAAAACGCTATCTGCCATGGATGAATGATAGCGGCTGCAGCAGCTTACATTGGCTAGAGGTGATATAACTCTACCTAAAGATGGCCGCCAGTGACCGCATTCGCGGAGCGGGCAAACACGATCCAGCAATTGTCATAGAGATCAGTGAGTGGCACTGGTGTCAGTCTTCTTGCTGCGCAACTGGGCCGGTAGATGCCAATGTTGACAGCTTCGTGTGTAGGGAATCTCCAGTGGGCGGCGCACCCCCATCACTGGTTTTCGCAGGCTTGCCTGGTGAGCGCTACCTGTATGTAATCAACTAATTAAAGCTGACATTGAATTCCCTGGGTGGATTTGGAACCATCAAAGCGCGCCATGCTCGCGTTTTAGTGCGGTCTTCAAGACTGCTTGAAATCCCCCAAGGAAATTCCTCATAAGTTACTGTAATTTAGTTTCAACGTCAATATTCGATGTAGTTAACAAGATACTCGATAAACTTCCGTCACGAATTGAAGGAGATGCACTTATTTACTTACAATTTCAGGAATCTATATAATTTTTAACATATACACTATACTTTCCGAATTTAATTCACAATATCTAGATATCCGAAGTTTAGCTAGAATTTAAGTACCTAAACAAATCCTGATAAATACACTGGAATTACGGTAACTCTAACGGTAAAAAAAAAAAAAAAAAGTTACATTGTTGGGGTAACTTCTAGGTCAGTTTATTCGTGGTTACTTTTTTTTTTAACACGTTGATAAGATACACATGTTCACGCTGACTAATTCTCAGCATTAGTGCCACCTGCTGTCACTTCCTAAGCGCTCATTCACTCTGGAAACGGACCCGCGTTCGCAAAGCGGTTGCGAACGCGGTTGTATAAAGATCCAGTACAATTGCACGCGCACTCGATGACATCAAGTGCGCGTGCAATTGTACTGGATCTTACACAACCGCGTTCGCAACCACTCCGCTTCCAGTGTGAATGAGCGGTTAGACTCTATCGTGAGTAAAGCACTAAATACAAAACAAAATGCTAATATATCTTACGTGTGGAAAGCAAAACTTCTAGTCAGCTATCACTGCAGCACACACCGACGCTGTGGGATATTTAAAAGGAAATTGGAAAGTGGCTCGATTAATTTCTCTGAATATATGTCTTCAGAAAACGTATCTGTATTTCAGTGTAGCTTACTTACCTTTTAGCCTAAGTAACTCTATAGCTTAATTAGACTTCAAAAGTAACTTCTAGTGCTCTCTGAAGCCTGGGTTACACTGCTCACACATCATACAAAAGGCAGCCTGCAAACATACGAGTCACCGCAATATCCATGGTTCGGATGACGCGTGCCAAGTTTCTCGTATTCAGACTCATTGCCATGTGGCATTCGAAGTACAGATCTCGCGATGACCCCGGGCTTTACACTAACGCTCTGGTCGGATTTATCTTCCCGCGCTTCCCTTCTTATTTCTTCTCCCAGAGCGTGGATGTCCAAGTGCGGTGGTGCGCGTGTGGAAAGACCTCTCCGACGCCCCCCTCGAGTTGTGCGGTGAAGCGCTGAGCAACGACACCAGGGAAGTGATATCCACCTCCAACATTCTCAAAGTATCGTAAGTAGAAAACTTCGCTGTTTTTATTGATGTTTTCTTTTTTTTTTTGTATTTGGTAGTGGCGTTTTACTAATCGCAGAGGAAATTGCTTCTTTTGCAGATTCATGACGGCGCAAAAAGCAGTGGGCAATGGCGGATTCAAGGCAATCTGGACAGAAATAAGAGAGGGTAAGCTATCCTAAAATAGGAGGGCGTTAATAGACGAATATCACAGTGTTAAATTCAAATTTGAGAGTTCTATGTACTTGCCAAACCAACGAATGGACATCTTGACTTTTGATTTTGACGTGCAAACGAAGGCCTCTTTTACACGCAATCCTCTTCCGCAATAAGCCTCCGTCAGATTGCGGACACCTCGGTCACGATTCGAACTCGCCGGCTGGGAATCCGTATACCGGCGCTTTGCCTCGGAGCGACCGAGGCGGCTGCTAGCGCATTATTTTAACGACGGGCCGCAACGGACACTACGAGCCGTCCCAGCCGATCGGGGGCTGTGAACATATCACGTGACCAAGCCCCGCGCGTTGCTGCGCTCCCTCCAAAGGTCAAGTGACACTTGAACGGCATTGACTTGGTTTCGATGGCTCGAGCTATCCTGCGCGGTCCATCGTATGGTTACATGGAGTATGCTTATATTGCTGTAAATAACTATTTATGTGCCATGCGATCGTTGTAAAAATAGTGGATGCATCGAATAATATATATATCCATTCGCTACAGTTTATGACATAAAGTTCTCCTAACACAAAACAGAATAAAGCAATATGTTACACTAGTAAAAGCGAACGCATGACGTTAACTTACATGCATGGCGAGGCATATCGCCATTTTATTACTTACAATACAAAGAGGACGAGCGAACATAAATTCGAGGAGAACGCGTTGACGTTTGTCTGAGTATCCCACGGTTCGTTCCAGATCCCAACTGCCAGGAGATCAAATGCGCTGTCAACGGCTATTGCATCTCCTCAAGACTAAAATGCAATGGTGTTCCCAACTGCGGCAGCAGTGACAACACAGACGAGGACGACTGTAAGTAAAGTTGTTAAGGATTTTCTAACTGAGGGGTCACAAACAGGAACTAGGCACATACAGAATGACATTTCGAGAGCACGTGTGTGTGTTTTAACCGACAGACTTCTCGACGCAAAATTAACTTTCTAAATACATGAATACGAATATCCCCAAAAGAACTATACAGCGCGATAGAACGCAGCATAACATTGCATTGAGGGCTAAATCAATGCTGTTAACGAATCGTTGCGTATGGCAGGTCGTAGTGTGGAAAGAACTAAATATTTGTTTTAGTTGAAGAGAAAGAGCTAATTAAACTTTGCAACGTGGAGCACTGGACCATCGTTTGCTGTAGTACAAGCATTGCATGCACCTGAATATACCTTTTGCCTAATTACCGAAGCATCAAAGAGGTTGTTTTAAGGTTGTTTTCATATGTACTGCTGAGGCATACGGATCACAGTACCATTGTAGATTACAATGAATTACTAATTTCCTTAATTTTTCATATTTTGTATGATCTGTGCTCTGCGCATTTAGAATAGTGTCCTTTCTCTCAATGTACCTATTGTTAGTTTTCTGAAATTACTTGGGGAATCGCCTGCTGTAAAGGGGGCCAAGACCTCTGCCAAGCTGCTGCAGCAGCTTTTTGTCTTAGGCCCCCTTTTCTGTGATGAAACAAAACATTTATATTTATTATAATAACGCCAGAAACGTTAGTACACACGCTGCTCGTGCTGTCTTCTGCGCCGTGACTGTTCGAAAGCAAAAAAAAATAATAATTAAAAACGCTTACAAATGTTTGTAACGCGAAATTAGAGTGCAGTTCTTGCGGAGGAAACGGGGAGGGTATGTCCTTCCTCTTCCTCCGTACCCTCTCCTCCTCCCGCCCTCCTCCCCTTCCCGTCTCGTCCTCCCCTGCTCTTCTTCCTCCTCTCCCCTCTTCTGTCCTCCTCTCCCCTACTAATCCTCCTCCTCCTCCTTTTCTCCTTCGTACCTTCGCCTCCTCCTCCTCCGCACGTGACGTAAATTTTCCCGCTTAATGTAGCGGGAAAACTGAATTTTTTCATAGGTGACGTGACACCAAGTCATGTGACGTCAGTTTCTCCACTAAATTTAGAGAAACTGAATTGATGTGAAGGTTACGTGACGTCAATTTCCCGCTAAATTTAGGGGGAATTGAATTGCTGTTCCGGTCACGTGACGTAAAATGTCCCGCTAAATCTAGCGGAGAAACTGAATTCGTCCATAGGTGTCGTGACACCAACACTTGGGACGTCATTTTCCCCACTAAATTGAGCGGGGAAACTGGATTGGTGTCGAGATCACGTGACGTCAATTCTACCGCTAAATTTAGCGGTGAACTGAATTGCTGCTGAGGTCACGCCACGTAATATTCCCGCTAAATCTAGCGGAGAAACTGAATTTGTTTATAGGTGACGTGACACCGACTCATGTGACGTCATTCTCCCCGCTAAATTTAGCGGGGAACTGAATTGGTTTGGAGGTCACGTGACGTCAATTTCCCCGCTAAATTTAGCACGGGTACGTCAGCACCGACGCCAACGCCGCTCAACCCGGAAACGGGTGCCTAAGAGCTGAGCTCTAAAATGAAAGACGTTTACTGTCTCTCTAATGCTAAATTAGAGCGCAGCTCTTGAGGAGGAGGAGGGGAGGGTGTGCCCCTTTTTCTCCATTATTCCCTCCTCTCCCCTGCTCCTCAAGTTCAGTTTCCCCGCTAAATTTAGCGGAGAGAATGACGTCACATGACTTGGTGTCACGTCACCCGTGAACAGATTCAGTTTCTTCGTTTGATATAGCGGGAATACGGGCGTCACGTGACCCCAACGCTAATTCAATTCCCCGCTAAATTTAGCGGGGAATTAAATTGTAGTTGAGGTCACGTGAAGTCAATTTTCTCACTAAATTTAGCATGGATACGCCAGCGCCGCCAAACCCGGAAACTGGCACGAGTGCTCGTCCTGCGAAAGAAGGCTTCAAAGCAGCGACCTCGAGCTCTCGTGCTTGTGGCATTGGCTGCAGTAACATAATAAACAAGAAGAACAGAAAAAAAAGAGGCTGGAATCAGGAAAATAAAGTGTTGTGAGTGATCACCTGTTGCGCCTTGAATGTCTCGCGTTCGTCCTAGCTTTTCCAATGGTGTTAATCACTATTTGACTTGCATTTGAAGACACGTTAGCTTTGTTCTTGATTATGTATTTTTTATATAATTTCGTAATATAGTTTTAACTGGATAGCTACGGTGCGAAACTCCTTGCTCCGGGTGTAGTGCGGATGACCTCGTGCTGCAACTTCACATCTGATAATTCACAATCTTGAAATTCAGACACTCCTGTCGAGACCGGAAATTTCGACATTGAAACTGAAACAAACTGGTGCGTGCTCCTTAGGTTACAAGCAGCTCACAGTTACCACAAAAAACAAAAACGATTTTTACGACTTAATTTTTTATGCTGCATTGTGAGCAAGTTACCGAGAGGTTAGAGCAGAATATACAGCAGGCATTGATTGATGTTCTAGAATATATACGCATTGACGACAAGCCTCTTAGACGAACGGGAGTTCAATAATCGCGCTGCTGATCGAATATTACATGAAACAGCCTTGTAAAACGATTGTCGTGAACTTTTAGATGTTTATGAGTGTATATTGCACAGCGGTGTATTCGGAAAATCGATAGCTTACATTCCTTTAGTCATTTCATTCAGCGTGAAAGAGAATCGGTATAACTCTCCAATTGGCTCATAATCTCACTGCCAAAACGAACATCCTCGAGTTTTTGCACCTCAATTTGAATTTTCATCCGAGCACGGTGCGTATGTCCCTTCTCATTAGTACTGTTGCTGCCGTAAATACCTATACTGATATAGTAGTGTCTTGACATGCAAGTAATGGGCTTTGTGTTATTTATTAATGCTTCTTTCGCGTCACTGAACAATCTTTAATGCCATTCGGTCTTTTTGTTCTTTTTGTTTTTTGCCGTCTAATATGATTTAACATTTTTTTAGAGTGGTACTCAAGAGGCACTCCTGGTATTCTGCGTGCATATTATTGTTTATTGTTTCCCGCTACTAACTCATGTCATAGTCCCCGCTCTGGGACTAACAGTTCTGGGGAATAAATGAACTTATAACTAAGAGTGTACACTGATATCACGTCCGTTCTAACAACACGTTGCCTCTCTCTCTTTCTTTTCGCCCTTCTCCTTTCAACGCCATTCTTCGCCCTTTCTCCACGTCCTGGTTCTGGCTCGTCTTTATCGCCACACCTCCTCTGCGCCGTCCTTTGGTCTCGTCTCGATGGTCGGGGCCATCCAGGCATTCGCAGTCCCGAGCTGAACCTGTACCTGGTGGTGGGCGTGTCGGCGGGCTGCGGCCTCTTCGTGCTGCTCACCCTCTGCCTGGTCTGCCGGCGGAAGCGGCGACGGCGGCGGCGGCGGCGAAGGCCCTTCGACCGGCCCCTGGGGCCACCCCCACAGCCGCCCAGGGAGGTGCCCTCCATGCACTTCGTCTCCGTCGACACCGTGTGACTAGAGACCACCGTTTAAGAGCGTCGAACACGCATCAATAGCTTGTTTGAAACCTAACGACGACCCCTGCTCCGCCGCTCCTTGTTGCTGTTGTTCTTGTTGTTCTTGTTGTTGATGTTCTTGTTGTTCATCTCTGGAACAGAACGGACTTCTTGGATTGCGGCGTTCCAGCTAAGCTTTCTGTTTTACTTGCGTTTCGCGAATATATCCTTCGCTCCCGCCTCCTACATCTTCCAATCAGGGCGGAGAGCTACATAATGTCATTTTAGTGTAAAGTTATGACTAATCAGCAGCATCATAAGAACTGCAGAGAAGACCCACCCCCAAAATCCTGAGTCAAAATGGCGTCTCTGTCCCCTCTGCCTACATGTCGTTGAGACATCTGCGTTTTGTTGTCCTAAGCAAAGTTTTTTTTTTTTTTTTTTTTTTTTTGCAGTTTTTGCGATGTTACGAACTAATGGTGACGAATATTGGTGCTCATCATGTCTGATAATTATGTCCAGAATGCCCGTTCAATATACGAATGAGCGTCGATGTTCGCGCAGTCTGACCACGCAGTGCACTTGCTTTCACTGCACTGGTTCTTACTCGGAGTCACTAGCGACCTCGTAAAAGAAATGCGATAAATTCTTGCGTGGTTTGGGCCTGATGGCTGCTTCCCCTGAGCTTTGATACCTCCCCGAACATCACCATTATTTTTAAACAATGATTTAGTGACATAAATATATGGACAGATAATTAATTTTGGTTTATCGTATTCTTAAAAAAGAAAACTTATTTGGGCGGGTTTTACGTTGTGCTACTGCAGACGTCGCGTAGCATTCTGCGGAAAATTCTGAATGTTGATTTCACGATTTTTCTGTGGCAGTACTTTTGTTTTGTTTTTCTTTGTAGCATTGTTATGTTTTCACCTGCGTGATCATTATAAAGTTATTTTCGAGTTTGTTGGATTGCAGATTGTCCTATTGTTTCAGCTCCCAAAATGGCTTCACTAAGTATCTTGCTGTTCGTAGTTTGCGTAACGAAATTGTTATTAAAACATGATATATGGGCGTGTCGCACACACGCATAAAGTAGCAGACTCCAGAATGAAACAAAATAAAACTCTTCGTTATAATTTATTTCTCTTCCGGAGGTGGGGCAAAATTACTCGTTACGCGAAAAAGAAAAGAAAAAGAAAAAAAAAGTCATGCGCGACACGTGTGCTCGCTACAGAGTCTATTGCTGTTACCCCAGACTCGTGTACCTCGGATAAACCGACGGGTGTGTTAAAAAGCGATACGAGCTCCGCGCGATCATCTAAAGGCGATGTTAGGCGTTACGTTCTCACTCTGTGCACTCATGGACTCTCTCACAGTGGTGCTGTAACGTGAAGTTTCACTGTTGGAACGCAGCAAGGCTCAACGTTGGAGACCGAAGTGGTGGCGGAGTTCGGTTTGTTTTTAGGAGTTGTTACATGGCTGACGCCCTTTGAGAATGTGATGCCGTGCCAAGACCGTTGCAGAGAAAGAAGGAGCGAGGGAGAGAGAGGCATGATACTTCCGTTACGTCCAGAAAAGTTGTTCCCTATTCCGGCTCTGAAAGACCGAATTTTTCAGTCCTCGTGTTTTTTTAACTTTATCTCACACGTTTTTTTGTGTGTGTCCGGATATCTCGCTCGTGTTTGTGGCGGAGCAGGGCGGCGTTTGTTTGCTAAAGCTGCAGGGTGTAGAGCTGCTGCCCACCGCGAAAACCGTGGTGTTGATGGTGGCGAGTTGCCTCGTTCCTGCCACTGAAAGCGTTCAAGAAGTTCCGGGAACCGTGACGTATTGACGTCAGGAAAGAACGGGCGGCGGCGTCCGGCAACACTGTAGGTCCTCGAACGAACGTAAATCATTTCCCTTTTCGAGCCCCCTGCATAAGCGAACCGGTGACATGCATTTCTCGAACATCCATGACGTCCTTCCTCCAGACCATTTTTCCCCCACTGGGGTGTCATACTCATACCGTAGCTCAACTCTCCTTGGAGGTGCTTCCGAACTGAACCAGCCAACAACCCCGCGGAACAGATCCAGCAGAACGTAGCGTTCCGTAACTTACTTCCACCGACAATGTTACTACATGGACTTTTAATCTCCTTTCCATCTTAACCTTTTCTTTCTTTTGTCATAGGTGTGAGACTGGAATAAAACTTGAGCCTGATTCTTTCTAACGGGCTATAGTCCTTATAACTTGCATTCGAAGCTAGAAGAGTTTATACAGTACGATACCGCAAGAACCATCTATATGTATGCATGCGACTGACTGAATTCATGTTGTTATCATACTACGTGCCCTCCCTCTTAACGTAAGAAAGTTTCGAAATATATTATAATTATTGCCAGGTTACACGAAAAATGCGTTAACTTTATGCGAGTTTCTTTTTTTACATAGATTGATGACGCTTTACCCCTGACTTGTGTGTATGCCCAGTGGAAACTGAAAGCATGAAATGCCGTGGGAGTAGGCGTTCTTAGGATGGTTTGTCGTGTATCGAGCATGTTTGACGTCGCCTGAAGAGCTATTAAGTGTCACGTTGAATGCGATGATATCCTTTTTTACATCTATGCAAATTACCTTTGTACTGTGTGCACCGAATCATGTTTGTGACATCCTGTCCAGGTAGTGCTGCTGGCGTTAGGACTGGGCATGCACAGGTGCACCGCTCCTAAAACAAGCGGTTTCCTGCGAATGCACAGTGCTCACAGCTCCTCTGGGCAAATGCGCGTACTTAAAATCAGTGAGTAGCCGTATAAATTTTGGACGTTTTTGCGTTAGAACACCACAAGCTTATGACAGCACTATCAGAAGTAATTGCGTATCATTTCGCACCGTGATGCACTTTGAACGTCAATTATTGTTGTTTACTCCTATCAGTTGACCTAACAAAAAGGACGATCGGCATTACGCTCCTGTTGCCATGTGGTATGAGATAAAAAAAATGGAAACAGCACCTTTGTAGCTTTCGAGCACAATACCGAGCGTCCTTCCCATTAGTAGGACCGGTTAAAGGAAAGGATTGGCGTTTAAAGTACATCGCGGTGCAGTGTATACGCGAGATCTTCTGAGAGTGCGCTTTCACTGTTCTGTTTACCGAAAACGGACATGCCCAATAACGTGATCTTAGGTGTGAATGCGTGGACCTGGTTATCGAAAGTAAACATATTAGATAAGCATATACAATATACTGTAGATACCTCACACGATTTATAAAGCTGTCGATAGCCAAGCATAAAACAATGAGGCTGCAAGTGAGCAGTCGTAACGGACAACAACGTCTATCAAAAGCAACTTAAAAATAACTTTTTTTTTTTTATAACGTTGATAATTTATGGAAGGCTCTTGCTATAGAACGGTTCGTCATCCCTTCAGAAGTGCTGACGCTCACTTATTGATGTCGACAGTCTGTTGTGGTATAGGACCTGGAGGTGCTGCTCGCGATAGCCATTAGTGTGGTCGCCCTGACTTATCGTAAAAACCGACTTCAATCACTTAAGCCCCTTCATGTGTGCTACCCCTTGCTGTACTCGAAAAACAACTCGATAACCTTCCTTCGGTCAATTCTAGCAATGAGAAGGGTGGTCGGAACCATGTTCCAGCGATCACGCGGTCGCAAATGGAGCGGACGCCTCGTTGCCCTTTGGGGCTGCATGCCTCTTGGAGCACGATCCACACCGTCCATCTCATTGGCTAAACTGATTAAAGAAGTACGACTGACTGGTGTTTCGAGTGCATCGCAGTGCAGTGTACAAGCGGGGGTTTCTACGAATGCATTTCTCAAGTGGCCGGTCATGTACGAGCGTATTCGTGGTACGGAGAAATAATATACATAGAAGGTTTTGGGTAGTGTTCATTTTCCAGGATGAGTTAGCGAGCGTCTGTGTTAACTCATATTTGTGGTGCACACTTTCGGAGGTCGAGAGTGAAAAAAAAAGAGAAACCACGTTTGCGGATTTGCATACGAGCGACGAGTCTTTTTTGGTGTGCTACGTAAACACACGCCATATGGGTTAATTCGCATTGCGTCTCTTTCCATCCCTTTTCTATGTGTACATAAACTGTTAGGGTGGCGGCGGCAAGGAGCTGCAGTACTACGTTGCATGCCGCCTTCTTTCTCGTCTTCGAGGCTCTGAAGGCTGTCGGAACTGTAAACATGACTGCCGGTCTGGTAAAGTCCGTGTTGTATAGCTTTTTTCCGCGCACGATGGTGAAATCTTGAGCGGAAGAAAAACACGCCCATGATACGGCCTCGTTGTTAATTTGGTGTGTATCGTCTGTACAACTTAGGGTTTCAGGTGTTAACGTACCACATGTACCTATACTGTGCGTTACGTTGAAATGTGTTTGTATTTGTGTTTTCTGGCTACCGAAGAAGCGAGGGAAGATGATGTCTGTTTTATAGAATTGTCCATTCTTGTCTCTATGATTTGTGCGAACGTCTTGTATACCTATACTTTAATTTTGAGTAAAAATCAACTTTTCATGTGGTGTGTAGTTTCTTCGGCGATTATTTTTTACTGAAAGCGAAGGCATCTTTTTGTAACTATATATATGTATTTACAAAAAAAGCATGGACAGATGCTTCGCTTCCATAAATAGGAGTTCATGCGCAAACGCAGTGCTTCTAGCTTTTGTGTAAATATGCGCTTTTCTTAAAAAATTACACTGTCATTTACAATTGGTGTCAAAAGTTTGGAGGCAGCTCGCACTCCTGGCTATGTGTGATAGCTGTGCTGGACAGTCGAAGTGTCGGCAACGGAGAATTTTACAGAAGCTGGGATGGTAGCCACAACTCTAATAGCACATTCACACTGGCGGTTAAGCGGCGTCTGCGAAGCGGCTGCGGATGCGGTTCGCGAGCGACCCCGTTCAGACACAGCGAGAGGCGGTTGGCGGTTTCTCGGCGATTACGCGTGATCTTTTCAGACTTGCGTGTGGCAACCCTGTTTTAGAGTGCAAAATCAACTTTAATCCACAATTCAAAGCCAAAATGTTGCTATTTTAGCACTCTGAAGACTTTGCATCTGGATGTTCGCACGCATCACGAGTTGAGGCAGCGAAAAAAAAAAGACATGCACCCTCAAAACCCGCCTCCGATTCCCTCGACTTCGCCCACAAGCAAAGCCCAGCTAGGCGCGCCTTGCTAACTGAGAAAAAGATTCCCCCGATCCTTTCTTCGAAGTTGACCCTTCCCGCACGAATAGCTGACCGAGAAAACTTAAAAGCCCCCCCCCCCCCCCCCCCCAAAAAAAAAAAAACACAAAAACAACACCACGGACAAAAGGAGACACATACAACACGGACTGGTGCTAACGTTCAACTGATTTAATCAAGGAAAACCACCCAGCACACATGCGTGAACACTCTTTCCCATCTTTCCAACCCCATCTGATAGAAACAACCCATAAGCGCAAACAACAGATGACAATGATTTCAACATTCGTATCAGTTCAACGTGACTACACGAATCATCTAGAAATGAAACTTCCTTGTCATTTAGTAAAATCGAAGGCGTGCTGACGCAGTTGTCACCTGAGGTCTTTATAAGTGACTATTTCACTCTCAGTCTTGTTATTTGATCATTTAATAAATTTTGTTAATCCTAACAGGGGATCACACCCGCACCATATGCAGTGTACTGCAAGGTGTCCCCCTCTTTGTTACGAACCGCTATACTATGTTCACGCGCCCTTTCGTTAAAACTCCGCCCAGTCTGTCCACCATAAACGCGCTCGCACATTAGTGGAATCTCGTAAACAACATTAGAGGCACAAGCTGTGTACTGAGTGACGGGCTTCTTCGAGCATTGAACACGAGAATTGCGAGATTCCACTATCGTGCGGGCGCGTCTATATTGGAAAAACTGGGCGGTGTTTTAACATGAGGGCGCGTGAGCATCGTATAGTGGTTCGTAACAAAGCGGAGTGACACTTTGCAGTACACTCCATGCGGGGCGGGTGTGATCTCCTGTTAGAATTACCAAAATTTATTAAACGAGCAAATAGAAAAACTGGGAGGGAAATAGTCGAGGTGTTTATAAAGTCCTCAGGTGACAACTGCGTCAGCACGGCTTCAATTTTACTAAATGACAAGGATGTTTCTTTTCTAGATGGTTTTGTGTAGTCACGTTGAACTGATACGAATGTTTAAATCATTGACATCTGTTGTTTGTGTTTATGGATTGCTTTTATCACACGGGTTTAGCAAGATGGGAAGGAGTGTTCACGCACTTGTGCTGGGTGGTTTGCTTTAAATCACTTAAAAATTAGCGGCAGTTCGTGTTTTTTGTTTTTTTTTTCTTGCGTTTTTAAGTTTTTTTAGATTTCAATGAACCAACTAGCCCAATCCAAAGTTTTGAACAGCTGACCTTGTTTTCGGGATAGAGGCTAAGTTTTTCCCCCGCACTGCTCGCTTTTATCATTTTCGGAGTTGAGCGCACTGGTGGACCATGGTATGGAGGAATGTGTTCGGTGCTGCCGGTCGGTGCTTTGTTGGTGGCGGACCCTCTTCTCGTCAATAGCACGTCGATCGAGTTTACTGTTTGTTGGAAATTAAGCTCAAATGAACGCCGTATGGATTACTTCTGCATCGTCTGGTACGTACAATTTATTCCTTGAGTAGGTCCCATTTATTCCTTTTGTTAGTATAGTAAACGTTACAGGTACCCTGCCACTCCGCGGTAGTGTGTTGGCTAGGCAATCAGGCTCACGACGTACGTCTCTATCGGCCGTCGTGGCGGTCATGCACAGTGTCGAAAGCTTTAAATAGTTCACGTGACTGTCTTAGTGAGTGCAAAAGTTGACATTTCGGTCGATAAAGGGCGGGTTTCGACGTTCTACGGGCAAAGACTAACAAGGCAGCAAGCGACGGGCTGTGGTACCCGGAATAATAAACAAACTCTAACCCGAACCAAATCGCCCAGTCATTTCGTTTTGCGGTGGATTCAAGTGACGGACGTGAACGTCACGTTTCTTCTTTGATTTGTCTGCTGTAACGCTATGACTACAGCGCCTTGGGCGCCTCACCAGCGACAAATGCCATCTTGTTTCGATAGCCACCAACGTCACGTCAGCGTCGCGTTGCGATTGATTGCCGTTTCGCGGTTCGGTCCCGAAGCGGTTGGCAAAAACGCGCTCCAACCGCTCGATCCCAGCCGCTTTGCGGTTGAGAACGCGCGTATCCGCTCCGCATTTGCGGATCCACTTTCAGTGTAAACGCGCCATAACCGTTTCCTAGATGGAAGCGCAATCGTGACAAATAACGGGCCTCGTGTTGAGTTAGGAAATGTTCGAGAGCAGCGAAATTTTATTAAACTGATAACTGAAGCAGCATAATTTAATATAACTACGCACATACGTCTATATTGTGCGCAGAGGAAAGGGATACTCCATGCGCTTTGGCCGCGAAATGTAATCTATGCTGTTGGGTAAGTTCTTCAGAACACACGCGGAATAGAACCAACGTGGGGGAGCGTAACCGGGAATAGCGTGCCACTTTTTATCGCCCGCAGTGAAATACTCTAGGCACCGTTTGTAGTCCTTCTGGTTGGCCTCTCCAATGGCAAAGATTCGGTCGTCCAACACGACGGCCACGACTTTGTCGGTAAAGGTCTTTGTCTTAGAACCCCTGGACCATTTGCCGCTGCTGGGGTCGTACACTTCACACACGCTTGACTTCCTGGATAGCCCTCCGATGACGTAAATTTTGTCCCGGTACGCTACGAGACCGTGAAAGAGTCGTTCCGTCTTCATCGGAGCCACCATGGTCCAAGTGTTGGTCTCGGGGTCATAGGCCTCCGTGGAGCGGATGAGCTTCTGTGTGGACATGCCGCCGACAATGTACACCCGACCATTGCAAGATGCCGCGCTGGCTCCCAGTCTTGGATGGTTCATCCGGCCGATGAATCGCCAGCTTTCCTTGACGGTGTCGTACTGTTCAGCCGTGTCCAACGTGACGACGCCGTTTGGAGAACCGCCGATGCAGTAGACACACTTGTCAAGTACGGCGATTCCGAAGAAAGCCCTGAGCTGTCCCATGGGCTTGATGGCTGACCATCTCATTTTGACGGCATCGAAACAGTAGCAGAAAGGACTCAGGTTTGCGATGTCCGCCCCCATCACGTATATGGTGTGATCTACGGAGACGCACTGGAGTCCGAAGACGAGGTCTTGTCTGAAGTCTGTGCGCACTGTGCTCCACTCGTTCGTCTTGTGGTCATAGATTTCCCAAGTGTTGCTTTTATAACCGCGGTGAATCCCGCCGTACACAAACATAATTTCAGCGGGGACACGTTGAGTGAAGAGGTTAAAAATTGGGCTGAGGATGCAGGCATCCTTGTCGAAGTTCTGAATTTTTGAGTACCGCTGGACGATGCTCTTGCACAGCGCGTCTTTGGTTACCAGCGGATTTCTCAAAACTTTCCTTTTTACGTAGCTCTTTTTCATTAAACAAAACCTGATATGCGGCAGGAGGTCGACAAGGTACTGCTTTCTTTCTGTGACATCAGCCTCAATCCACGATACAGAAGCCTCCCAGACCAATTCTTCCTTTGAAACCTTCAGCTCGTCGCAACACAGCAGACTCACCATACTCGCGATACTGAGACGATGGAAGTCTAGACCCGCCGCGTGCACCCGTTCAAAATTGTCGAGCAGGAAACGGTGCGCCTGATTGTACAACTCTTCGAGGCCGAAGAAACGCGTCATTTCAAGCACCGACACACAATTGGGGGCATCTAAGTGGTCCCCGACAAATTTGCAGCACTCCCGGAGCAGGCCGTCCACTAGAAGTTGATCGGATGCGACGATCAAGCTCTCCACGTTGTCCGCATCAATGTCCGCCACTCTCGTGTGTGCGTACCTAGCGATCGATGCCAGGTCGGCTCTGGTCACCCCGGGAATCAGGAACTCTCCTTGCCGCGCCATGGACAGAGGACCGTTGAACAGGGCGTCGAAGTAGTGACTGCACGCGCTTAGAGAGTCCTTGAAGACCGTTACGCTTCCTCCGTCGGAGGCCCGCAGTGTCGCCAACGACGTTGCAGCGTCTTCCATGGTAAGATCACTGAAGAGAGAACAATGCCTTGTACTTGGAATTTGACTTCGGAACTACCGCTGTCTGCTCGGCGGCGGACGGCGGCGACGATCAGGCGGGCATCCTATTGACATAGAGACGTGGCACTGCTTTCGACTGGGTCTCGCTTGTGGTGGACAATTTAAGCCGCGTTGAAGGCAGCAAAATTTTCAATATGGTGCTTCATTGCCGCGAGAGCATGGTGACCGGTACAGCGAACACGTTCGCGCACATGAAGCGCGTGGCCGTAATTGAAAATATAATGATATCGAAGAAAAAATATTTGAATTTTATGAGTTTCAGAGCCACTTTGTTACTCTAATATCAGTTAAGAATACAAGGCATCGAGTTTTATACCCCAGTAGTTGGAAACTCGGCGCGTGGGGGGCTGTACTCGACGAGACTCGCCCGCTTTTCAAATGGAAGAAAACAAAGTGCATCGGTTTCGCAAGTGCTTGAGCAAATAAGGCGCCAGTTAGGATTTGCTGGGGTTGGAGTATAAAGGTGGGCTACCACTGTCCCTCGAGGTGGTAGCACCTACCCGAACAGGCATTTCACCAAGGATTTGCGGGATAATAAAATTAGAAAGGATAGTAGTGCTGGGGCGTGCTTGCTTCAGTGTACAAAAATTGGTTTTTTTGAAGGTCACTTTATGGCGGTAATGCTGTTCCCACGTTTTATGCGCAAATTTTGAACCTTTTTACGCGCGTATATCGTATTACATTTTAGCGTAGCAGTAGTTACAACAGCGAGCTCTGCGCGTTTAAGGGGCCTGCCGGGCACGCACCTCGAGGGGTGTAAGAGCAGAGAAAGACAGTGTGCCCTCGCTTGTAGATTCCGCTTCGCTATGGTTAGGATTCCGTGTTTTCGGAGTTTATTTTTCGTCGAAATCGGAAGGTGTTTTTCGGAGTTTATTTTCGCCGAAAAGTCAGAGTTTATTGAAGCATATTTTTGCTCGAGTCAGAATTCTTCAAAATTCGAAGCTGAATTTTGCAGTGTGTTACACTTTACAAAAATAAAAATAAATAATATACAGGGGTGAACATATGCCAGATTCAAGGGAACGCGCTTGTATCAAGAAATATTTATTCAGGTGAATTTGGCGTTGACGCCATTCTCTTTGGCAATACTAATTTGTCCCACGACAAAACTTGCGAACAAGTGTTGCTTCGATAAATGTCGATACCTTAAAATGAATTAATTCCTAGGCAGTCGCTGGAGCGGTAAAGGGTGTCATATTGAAGGCTTCAACTGCCCACCCTCTCTTCCCCCCTCTCTGAAATCTTTATGGTTCATAGCTTTCAATGTTGCAAGTACACAACCCCTGCTTCCTCTAAGAAGCACCAATAGTATGGCCCAAACTTTAAACAGGAATAGTGGCCTTTCTCATGACCCGAAAGTACAATGACCTGTAGCTCTGAATGAACCTTTACGAGATAATTGGTAATATCAATTCTGGTAAATGGATGGCATTTTCTCACTAACCAAACTTAAATTACCATTTGTTTGGCATTGGTAAATCAAAATTATAATTTATCAGATAAATCCGAATTGATGAAACTTTTATCGGCGCATGTTTTCCAGTGTTTTTCGGATTTATCCTAACAGAGAACTTTAGATGTGTTCGAAGAGTGATAGATCTTTGGATATTTGCCACGCCCATATTTATCACGTGACCGCAAGCTTGTTTCTAAACATTAAGCTGGTGTATAGCAAATTGGAAGTGATGGTGTCCGTGTTCCTTGATCTTGCCCGTTGCGGCAAACACGACACCCGTTCATAATCCGCATGGCGACACTGAGGCAGTCAGTCACATCGCTCGTAATACACGGGTATGCAATTAATTTTTTGCGTGCTTTGTAATCAAAAGGTTAGATAAGGATGGCTAGTTGGGCTAGTTGGTTTTGCATCATTATGTAATACGCCAAAAAAGAAAAAAAAAAAACCGGACGAAAACGAAGGGAGAACTGGACAGGATCCGGCGTAACTTTCAACTGAATGGTTTATTGTGATGAACACTTTTAAAAACATAAAAACCGGCACACTTGACAGACATAAAGATGTGGTCTAAAAACAAACACTCCTCAAAAACCAGCGTCATTGGTTCTTCAGATAGTATAATTTTTGTCGGACAAGGACAAAGAGGGTGAGCTTTGTTGCCGTGGTGGGACTTAATCACGAAGGCTTCGTGAATTTCTCTGGCCGTTTTTGTTTTGTAATGGCCCACGACACAAGTCTCACCAAAGATGAGACTGCAGTCCTCAAAGTTGGGCCGGCATTCGTAACGGTCATGTGAACCGCTAGGTGGCCAGACGGGAACTGCATGATCACTAACGCATGCTCTCTGACCCTATCATTGATGCACCTCCCCGTTTGGCCAACGTGCATCTTACCACATGACAGGAGAATTTTATACTTGACGCTAGTGGCGTGCTGGCGGAACATAGTGACATGTCGTTTTCTGCAGGACTCTGCAAAAAACGATATTCCACTTTTTCTGATTTCATAGTTTAGTAAAAAGACAGTAAAAATAAGCAGTTCTTCTGGATTATAGCCTATATGCGTTTTAATGCGCCTGCTTCCTCTTGGAAGAGCGTGCAAATTATGTTTTCAGTGTACACCCGCCTACATTAAATGCACGTTTCGGTACGACGCAAGCGCACTTTGAGCGGTGCTTCGCATATAATAGACTCATACCAAACCTTGAAGCGCCACCGCGCGGCGTAATGCCACTTCATGCATTGTGAGAATAAGTGACAAACAAAATCCATACGCCCTCCGCTCCTGGCCCACACGTTCCCTGAGTGCAACGCGTTACCAATTTATGGAAGTAGTCTATCTTAATATTTTGAAATATATTTTCTACTTTTCGTTTGACCTTAAGATCCATACGCAGCCGACGCTGTAGGAGCTGGTGGGACCAATCTTACAGCCTCCAAAACGTACCATCGTGGTGTTCGTCATGTTTCTTTACATGTTATATCACCGCTGAACCAATCATAAACAAAAAAGGCTGTCGTAATATCTCGAGGGATAGCCTACCTAAAATTGAAAGCAAATCGGTTGAAAATAAGTAGTGGGCTATCTTTCGGTGTACGTTCAAAGAAAAGTTCAAAAAATGCTAGTTTTAGATTTTGTGACCGGCGACACTTGTAATCGCCAGGGAGGGGCGATGAAATAAAGACGACAGACCTTTTCAGTCAACAGTGTTGGCGTATCTTCCGCCGTGGCTAAGTAACACCATTTTCGCAGAGGTTACGATTGGCGAGTGCCGTCCAATTACTGTAAATAAGCTAACGTTCGATGTTTCTTTTTTTTTTCTTTTAATAGCAAATTTTGTTAAAAGTAGGGGTGGGTTATTTTGGGGGGTGCTGCATCTCTCGCGATTTTACGGTAGTGACTTGCGATTTTGACGCTGCTTGAATGATCCCATTAGCTCGTAGCGTCGGTTCCGTCTTGTTTTTAGCTGAAACGAAGTATAGTGTACGTTTCGTTTCTTGAACGCGGGAACAGGTGCTAGCCATATGCAGAAATCACACAAATAAACTCACTGCACTCTACAAAAAAAGCCCGTGCTTTTTTTTATGTTCCCGCGCAACACTCAAAAGAGCCAATCACCGCAACTTATGGAGGCAGCTCAGCGAATGATGATTCCGAAAAATACGTTTATACCAAAAAAACGCAGTCTGAGTTGTGACATTAAGCAATGCATGCGTGGCGCATGCATTGCTTAATGTCACAACTCAGACTGCGTTTTTTTCGGTCTCAACATATATTTCGGCATCGTCATTCGCTGAGCTTCCTCCGTACGTTTCGGTGATTGGCTCTCCAAGTGCTGTGCGGGAAAGTAGACGCTCGGGCTTTTTTTAGAGTGTGGCAGCTTAAAGGGGCCCTGCAATGACTTTTTGACTGGTTTTTAATTTGCACTGAACCTGAGCGTACTGAACGTAGTAACTTAATCAAAATTTTATTTTCTCAAATTTCGCTTTATTTTAGAAGTTATAGGCAAATTAGAATTACAAAAACAAGCAAAAAATAACCTCCTTCATGACGTCGTAGGTCCTGGCTTGAGTGGCCGTGAACTAGAGGAGAAGTAGTGAGCTCATCGAGCGCTCACGGCTGCCGCACTCCCTGTCGACGGCTCGAGAGGGCGCCACTAAAGCACGTGTTGGATAGCCTGTATGAAGCGGGCGGCCAGGGCAGCTCGCATTGCATTTGCTGCGCGACTAAACACTAATTCGGCGTAACACTTCATTGGCCACAAACGACAGCAAACACGGGGTAAAGATCAGTTCAGAACGGGAGCCACTTCGCGCTGACGCACCGACAAATGGCCGAATCGCCAGCAGGGCCCGCGCCGAAGGCCTTGGGAACGCTCGAAACCGGTCGGATTCTCGACCGCAGCGCCTCCGCGTACATCCGGGACCTTTCTACGCTCCTCGTTCATCGTAGCCTCATCCCACTAGTTCTTTCTAGTATGCGCCGTTTTTTCCGCCGCTTGGTGGCGGGAATGCCGACGGGTCATTTCTTGTTTCCGTACTTTCTAAACTGCATTCGTTTCTTTTCTGATCTAAAATAGTGAATAAAAACTACTTTTATACATAATTGAAACGGTTCGCGACACTTATATTTTGTATCTCGACTAAAAACAAAGCTTTTAGCGGCTTTGACCAGTGGCAAGCCAAGGACCAAAGACGTCACATTTCGCGCGCTTTCGGTACAGCGGGTCGCCCTCGTCGGTGGAGGTGGTTTCCGCGTCGTCCGGTAAAAATATGACGCACTGATATTTAGTTACTCTCTCCGTGCCCGCTGGCTTGCCCGAACCCCAAGAGACGTGGAAACCGCAAAAAAGGCAGACGCTTAAATATGATTGCAGGGCCCCTTTAAGGAACACGGAGCGTGGCGAGCTCTGTGTATTTTATTATTGTTCTGCTGCCAATAAAAATGCGGCACTAACCAATAAGAACGCCAAGGAACGAATCACAAAGCAAAATTGACTACGCTTTGCGTTTCTTACGATGTCAGCAACTTTAGTAAACCGAGTGTTTTTATGCTTTTGTTTTTTTAACGCTACTCGCAGTAGCATTCATCCTTCCCATTGGCTAAGCCAACTGAAGCAGACCAATGATCTCTCTTCCACGTTTATCCTGGTGCAGTAGGGTATAGGTCACGTGGAAACGCGCCTAGAGCCTGCTTCGTCGCGGGTCTCATACCGTCCTAACTTTTTTAGTTCGTTCTCATCTCGACTTTTCGAGCCCATCAACGGTTTTCCGACGTCGTTGCTGTCGTCGCTCTCCGAGCGCTTGTCGTCGTAGAAGTCTGTGACCCGGTCGCTGTAGTAAACGACGACGATCTGAAAGAGGCAGCCGACGACCAAGAGTGCCGTCGTCACCCCGTGGATGAGATAGCGCAACTTGGGAAGGTCATAGAGCCAGCAGGCTCCGGTCCCTCCGCAGCGATCCTCCCAGACCAGGCAGCTGGCGTCCATCAGAGCCCCGTAGATCAGGGGATAGGGGATGAAAGCTGTTGGGAAAAGACAAGAAGCGTGCGCATGGCGCAGCTCACCATGCAAGAAGAACATCCCATCTTTCGGGTTGTGGTGCTCGAGGTTTACTAATAAAAACCATAGGCATGCGTGGCGCCTCACATTTGCAGTGTTGGATAAAGTACACATCGCGACACTGTTAGTGAGAACACGACATCGGCGCCTTTTCGCATTTTACTTCTAAATAGTGTTAGCGAGCACAAACTTTTACCGCTTACAATATAGAACTAAATGAGCTCTTCCCGTAGCAATAATAACTTGGATGACATCCCTTGGTTTCAAAGAGAAAAGCTGGGAAAACCGGCGATAGCTTTGTTAACGTTAACAGTGTTGCGCTCTGTACATCTAAAAATTACTTGAAGTACAAAGTAAATTGGAGCTTATGTACTTCAGGTAAAGTATAAATACACCGGGAACAATGTACTTGAAGTAAAGTACTATAAATTCAATGTGCTTGCAAAGAAAAGTACAAGTACTTTTAACAGATTATTTCATGATGCCATTTTGTTCTCATTTACAGTGTTTTTTGTTGTTGTTGTTTTTTAAAGCTGGTATACGCATTGCTTTAGGGGTAATGGGGTGCGCCAGTTATTTTGGAAAATGGCGGCGAATATAATTGGGACGTCAGCCCCGAAGCTTCCGCAAGCAATCCTCTCGTGGCGGAGCGTCTTCTCCTAGTATGTCGAACCTCATCGCTTGCGCTGACCGTGCGTGCTCTATTGAGAGCTCGGAATGCCGCGGGAAAGCCGCCCCTATAGTACAAACGGAGGGATGCGTCGTCTGTTCGCTTCCTGGTGAGAGTAGAATATTCCTGGCATAATTCGTTTCAGCGTAAGTCCAGACGCAGCCGACGCTGCGAGCTAAGCGGGCCAACCAAGCAGCCTCGAAATCGCAAGTCGCTGGGCCTGTTTGGTTTATGATTGGTTCAGCGATGATAGAAAACGTAGAGAAATATGACGAACACCGCGCCTTTTTATTTTTGGCCTTCTTCTCTCCCACTCCTCACCTCCTCGGCTCTTTTTATTTGTGGCGTCAAATATCAAGAAATACAGAAGCTTTGTAAGCGACATTTCTATAACATTAAATAGCAGCGTCCGTAAAACATGATTTCCGACGCAATTGCGAACGCACTACGGTCCTTCTTTTTTAAATATACCAAAAATCGGAGTCCGGAGTGATTTCGTCTCCTGGCTTTTTGTCCTCTCTCGGAAAACATGGCGGCGCTCGACGCATGTAGCAGAGGATGATCGATGAGTTGGTGAATCGGACGAAGTAATCTTTTTTTAGGAGCCCCACGACCTCTCAGACTTCAAAAAGAAAATCGGGAAACGGTCAAGACAACTTGGTTTGAGGTCTGTGTACCCTAGTTTCGGTTGGGACTCCGCCAGGGCAGCCTTTCACGCAGAACCGGCGCGACGCGAACGCTCACGTAGCTCACAAAGGTCTACTGCGCGTTCTCTTCGACCTCACACCGTTTCAAAGAAATTGAGATCGCTGTAGGGTCCCTAATAGAACTTCAAACTCGAAAGCCAAGCGTTGTCTGCTTGTAAAGATAGTCGGCAAGCACGGAGGAAAAAAACCCGGTTGTTCGCGGGACGCCGGCGAATGGGTGGCGGCGGGCGCGGATCGCGCGGGTACTTCAAATTCGCAATTGGAAAATGCTTTTTTACTTCACAAATATTGAATTCCCGAGTTTCGAATTTTGAGGGTAATGTCCAGGCATCGTTTTCAATCGTTTCGGATAATAAAAAAAGATATGATTTTGACGTGTCGGTGCCCCTTTAACACTTCGGTGTTGCGAGGCTCCAAAGCGTTATCGAATGTAGGGAAATCACGCTGGAGTCGGAGCTTCCACCTCAAATCTTATGATTAAAAAAACTGTGCTTGTTGGGAGAGAAGGATTAAAAAATCTAAAGGGAGTTCATGGGCATTCCTTAAGGAAAGACCTAACTTTTAAAAGAAAAGTGTTTTTTTATTTAATCGCACAAAAAAAAATATATAAGTAAAAAAAAAAAAAAACTTCGAGAGAAAAAAACAGATGAAAGCGCAATATTTACGTCGCAAGGCACATATCTCGAGTTATTCCCGGTTTTGCTCTTAATTCTGATCGGAGCCTATCAAGCCCTGCCGAAAGTGCTTCATCGTGGCGCTGGCTGTATTTGGGGCTATGCAAGCGACGGCTAAACCGATCGTGGGTTGGAAAAAGCGCGGCGCATTTCGTGCGCGTGATTGGTTAAGCCGGTGATAGAAAAGACACGAAAACAACGAGCGCCGTGATGATACACTTTGGCGCGGCTTGGTTGGCCCCGTCAGGCGTAGGCTGCAGTCCAACCACTCATGGCGAATTCCACTGGTCGTTTTGGAGCGCGCCGGGATCGACTTTTCTGGAGCGAGCTTATTTCACTGGGCGATCGGGATTGAGACCGACATGTTTCACTGGTCGTTTTGGATTAGCTCCCGCTCCAGATCTCGATCTGGATCCGATGGCGAATTCCACTGGGTGTTTTGGAGCGCGCCGGGATCAGTTGACCAGATCCGAAATGGAGCTCACAATCCGAACGGGGTCGCGCCGGCGATGGATCCCCCGTGGAACATGACCACTGGTCTGGGATCGGCATTTGCCTTCATGTCATTCAACTGCCGGGGAATCCTCTTTCCGTGGCCGCCGCGGTCGTTTCGAAGACGTTTTCGCAATCGCGGCGCTAACACGTGTTCGACGCACGAGCGGCAGGAATGGCTCAGTAGCTTCTAGCAAAGATTGCCGGAATGCCCGTAGCGCGGCGAAACCGTCTCTTCTCCTTCCTGGAAAACGAACCGGCTGTCGAGCCAAGGGGTAAAGGCCCTGTCACACTGAGGGGACAGTTGGACAACTCTATCCGGCAACACGGGGAAGTCGTGTTGCCGGCGACCCTGTCACATCGCGGCAACAACAACAGTCGGGCAACATGTTGCTGCCGCCCGGCAACAGTGTTGCCCGATTTGTTTTCCGACAACCCTGTCACACCGCGCTGACGGCGAGGACAACACGGGGAACACTCCGCCATCTTGATTGTTTACCTTCGTTCGTGTGCGGTGCGGAATCGCTGGAAATGTGACTCTACAAAGTGCTAGTGCGTTCGAAGGGCCGGGAATTGCCACGGTACGACATCAACCAGTGGCTGTAATTAGAGAGCTTGACACTGGGAGTATTTTCCGCTCTTTATTTTATCAAGATGTTCTTCATTCGCTGACAAAGCAGATAGCCCTAACCGAGGAAAGTCACATCGCTGATATATGTTCGGCATTGACGCCACCGTATAAAGTGTTTCTGTCCGGTTCTTTCATGCAATTCCTATTTCTACTGTGAAATTGCGTTAGCACCGGCAGTACCCCAAACCGTCTTTTGTAACGTGGTGTTGAGCTGAACTGACAGTGCTTCAAAACTGCGACACCGACACCATCGGCCTTCATAACAATCGGTGGAATAAATATTTTTCAACGCTGTCTACTTGTCTACCGCCTGCTATGTGATCGATTCATTGCCCCAAAACGTTCTGGGTATTTTTGAAACAAATCAGGTGTCTGGTAGAAGGCTGGTTCCAAGTTCCAAGCAACAACGTTTTCGCAATCGCGGCGCTAACACGTGTTCGACGCACGAGCGGCAGGAATGGCTCAGGCGCTGCTAGCAAATATTGCCGGAATGCCCGTAGCGCGGCAAATACCTTCTCTTCTCCTTCCTGGAAAACGAACCGACTGTCGAGGCAAGGGGTAAGCAAGCGGCCATTACCATTTCTTCTGAGGCGAGATCAGGCGAGATGCCCGCGAGAAAGGAAGTCACGTGTGTGCGCCGAGGGCTGACCCGGCCGGCTTCCGGTTGAATCCGCCAAAATCGGGGGAGCGACTTTTCTCGGATCCAGATCGAGATCTGGAGCGGGAGGTAATCCAAAACGACCAGTGGAACGCGTTCGTCTCGATCCCGATTGCCCAGTGAAATAGGCTCGCTCCGGAAAAGTCGATCCCGGCGATCTTCAAAACGGCTCGTGGAATTCGCCACGAGAAAAGTCGCTCCCACGATTTTGGCAGATTTAACCGGAAGCCAGCCGGGCCAGCCCTCGGCGCACACACGTGACTTCTTTTCTCGTGGGGCATCTCGCCTCAGAAGAAGGAGAAGCACGTCGCGGGCTGGGCTCCTAGATTGTCTCGACATCAGAAGAATTCGTAATGGCCGCTTGCTTACCCATTGGCTCGACAGCGGGTTCGTTTTCCAATAAGGAGAAGAGAAGGTATTTGCCGGCTCTACGGGCATTCCGGCAATCTTCGCTAGAAGCGCCTGAGCCATTCCTGCCACTCGTGCGTCGAACACGTGTTAGCGCCGCGAGGCGAAAACGTCTTCGAAACGACCGCGGCGGCCGCGAAAAGGGGATTCCCGGGCAGTTGAATGACGGGAAGGCACCCGCCGATCCCGGAGCAGTGGTCATGTTCCACTGGGGATCCTAGGCGGCGCGACCCCGTTCGGATCTTGTGCTCCAATCCGGATCTGGTCGACTGATCCCGGCGCGCTCCAAAACGCCCAGTGGAATTCGCCATCAGACTTGCTGAAGTGACACGGCGTATAAAAGTGATTCGGAAAAAAATTTCCAATTTCGGACGTCGACTCTTGAGGGAGAAATATTTATGTTACGGGATCGCTCAAAGGCGTCTCGCGACGTAAATATTGCGCTAACAATTTTCCTTTTTTTCTTTTTCCATGGAAAGTTTATATTTTCACCTACGTGTCCTATGCAGACGTCAACAAAAGAAAAATGTTTGTGGGAGTTCTGTGCTTTGTTTTAGAAGCACAACGCAAAATCAAGAAAGCCGATAGATGTAGCAGGATCGAGAAACTAATTACAATACATATATATATAAAGATTATTAATATTATTATTATTATATATTTAAACTAGCGTGTATACTTCGAATCATGTCTGAATGCCAATAATGTCTCTTACCGAACAGATTCATTATCGCTGACAAAACTGTGAGTGCGATGCTCTTGTCGTTTGGCTCCAGTGATCTGAGGACAGTGAGAAATTGGGATCGGTCATTTACTTACAGAATGACCCATGCGACTAAACAAAATAAATAGCCTTTTATTAGCGTATCTTTCCAGTCTAATTTGGGTGTTACTCTTAAAGCATTACTTAATGTCCCACATTCCCGACATTTAATCCGCGCTCACACCACTAATCCATCGTACAAAAGACTGTCTGCGGACAGCGTCTGAAGCGGTCACGTGGATCACACAAAAACCGTCTTTCGAGATGCTCCAAGTATCTGCGAAGCGCTTCAGTGATGATTCACGCGTGACCGCAGATCACTCTGTTATCGTGTCTACAGACAACACCGTGTCTTTTGCACGATGTACAAACAGTGTGGGTGCGCCTCATGTTCCGGACATGCCAGTGCGCTTACTCATTTAAATCACTCAGCAGTACCTCCGAGTTTACGCTCCGATCCCATATTGTTCTAGACCTGGCTGTTCACATTTTCTACGTGGAGAGAAAGTCCGTCTGCTTCTTGCCCAGGAGTTGCGGTGACGTCAGAACTACGCCGAGCTCTGATTGGCTTTGATTAAAAGGATAGCGGGTGTAGACCTCAATGCTAAATGCCTTAAGGTCTACCCACTATTTTTTTTTTTTTGATCAGCCAAAAGGAGCACGGCGTTCTGACATCCTCGCCACCCCTGTGCAAGAAGCAGACAAACTTGCGCTCCGCATAGAGACTCCGTACTGGGACTCCACGCGGCTTCAACTAAGTTGCAAGGACCGCGCGACTCAGCTGATGTTCTCTTCCGAGAAATATGAGATACAAAAGTCGTGAAGCAGATTGCGTGTCTGAATCTTCGAACCCACTCTCGCCAATGCAACGAGCGTGTGCTCATTAGATGCGAGGCTTTACGCAGATGAGTGGAGACACATCTGTAAGGGTCTGTGGGACGCCGAGTACCTACGCAGCGGTCTGTTTGGGATATACTGAAAACCCCACTTCACCCTTAAAGGAGCTGTGCAACAGTTTCAGTGTTTTGCTTAAATAATTTGGGAGTTGGTGTCTCGGCCTTTCTGAACTAAAGAACGAAAAAACGCTTTTGCCTGCATGTCCTAGTTTTTATTTTAAAAATGAACAAAGACTGAGGTTTTCGGCACCTCTCAGCTCCTTCACAATCTTCCGAGTCACATGCGCTGTGACGTCAATGGGAGTCGCGCGGGGTTCCGGTAAAGTTCTCTTTTTGGAGCCATCAGTGAGCAGCGAGAACTCATCCGCTCGCGACCGCGTGACCACGTACTGGTGGGAGCAGCGCGAACAATATGGTGAAAGGAGGAAAGTCTCATCCGGGTCCGGCCAGCCTGGCCATACCCGTCCGGCTCTGTCCCCCTCCCCCTCCGGCTTCTGGCGGCTGTTCGCGGTAGCAGATAGAGCTGACGGTTTTGGGGACCTAGGATAGATGGCGCCACTAAACCTCCGTATAATAAAAGTTTTGCCGATGATGCCCGGTTTTCGACGCATTTATATTTCTGTTGGAGCGACAAGATTTATAGAAAAGTTACCTTTTATCAATCAGGTATTCGCACAACTTGCTATCTTTCTACAAGGCCCCCTTTGACGTCACGCCGCGTGTTTCTCATGGCCGCCGCTCGCGGCTGCAGGTCGGGGAATATTCCAAGTTTTGCGTCGCTAGTACGCGGCGGAATCGCAACATTTAGAAGGAAGGAGGTGTGTTTTCTGTCCTTTTTGTAAAGACGAGCAATGTCACAAGAAAAAGATGTCAATTCTTTCAAGGTTAAAATCGTTGTACAGCCCCTTTAAATATAGACCGCATGACGGTGCACCGGCTCGCCCACCCATTAACTGATAGAGCGTGCCTTTGCTTCGCCTGTGAGGTGATCGTGACTGGTATCACGACCTGAATTTGCTTTTAATAAATACGACACAGGTCAGAGCAGCTAGTTTATGGGGTTTATCACCTGCTTCTTTTCATTAAAAAGACCCCATTTCAGTATTCGCGACTGGCGACCTACAGGAGTAGCCACTATCTGGCAAATATAACGGTCTAAAACAGGTCGTGCGCTTCCATGTGCCAGCTGAACGCACAGTGCTCGGGTTTCAGCAGGCAAGCATTAAACTCAAAATGTTTTGTCCCGATCTTCATTCACTACGTTTAAAAATTGGTATGTGTATGTTTATACAGCCTGAACTTAGATCGCCTGAACGGGCGACTTGTATCAACACTATCGTTTCAAACCTACGGCGATGTGTTGGCATACGCGAACTTCCAGGGGATTGTCCTCCTTCGGGGGAACCGACAGAAGGAATGCGGTGTTTCTGAACGTTAATAAAGGTGCAATGACTGGTTCACGCGGCAGGGTAGTTCGCGTTCTGAGCGACCAGGGTAACACGCTGCTACGACAGTAACAACAGAGTTCCCGGGAAAAATGTTCGGTCGCGCCAACCGCCAACAGCATGTAATCACGAAAGTGACAAGGGGCGAGCAGAAATCGCGGAAGGAGCTATTTCGTTCAGTTCAGTGTTTTCCCGTTAGGTGTCGTCCGTTTTGCTGGAGTCGCGAAAAGTCTGTTTTATTTTATCTCATAATCAGGGCAATATATGCCCACAGGGTAGAGAAATGGGGCGAATTCGTTGAACGACAGCGCCCCTTAAGCGTGAAGCACATGTGAGCAAAAACTGCGTAACATCTCGACGCCGTGTGGCGTAACCATATCTACCCCCGCAGGTGCTATGCCGTGGCGGCACGGCATCCGATCACATCATCGTCAGCGGCAGGTGTGATTACACCACCGGGCCGCCACGACGCAGAGCGATATTTGCTCGCATGTGTTTCACGCTCAAAGGCCCGTGCACACATCGCCGTTCCCTTAGGTTGCGTAATGTTACGAAACCCTACGTCGGCTTATGTCGCGATTCACCGCGACATCTGTGCAACGCATGATGCGTAGTAACCATAGAGCGCTGGATATCCTGACTTTTCCAAGTACCGCCATCGTTTGATCGTGCCGCGGCCGCTGCTATCGGATGCCGGAGACGCGTCGCCATTTTTGGCGAAAGGCGCATCCCGCATCCAATCGCTAAATTACCCAAGCATCAAATAGAATGCTGGGATTGTATGTTCACGCGCCACACGCGCTCGGATTCCCCGTATAAAAGCTTCGAAGTAAAACACCAAAATAAAGTGTTGACGAACACCCGTGCAAGATGCCATTTCTTTTAGGCATTTGCTTTAGAAACGTTACTATTGGTGACGCAAGCACGTGCAGCGCATGTAACTACCACGACCGGCTTTATAGGGGCGACCAGGTGACCCGAGGCAGCGCGAGCGCGCCGTATTTGCTTTTGCTTATTTAGTACTTTCTCTAGTTCGCTGAACCGCCACCGCGTTTACTGGCGCCGTAGCTCACCACACTAGCAGACGCTTTCGCGTGTGTATCTATGTGTGTCCGCTCCCCGACCGGCGACGTTTTGACGATAATCGGCTGTATTTTAAGGACTTTTCTCGTCGTTTTGACGATAATCGGCTGTATTTTAAGGACTTTTCTCGTCGTGCGATTGTACGTTCGGTAAAGAGCTACAAGCAGATCTAGATCGCATCCTTCTTTGGTCAAAAGATAACAAACTTCCTCTAAACTTAAACCAAATGCGCTACCATGCACATCACTGCCTCGCGCCAACCTTCGACCCCTCCAACCGTTTTCCTGAACCGAGTGGAGATCTGAAGAACAACGCATATCCATTTCCCAGGTGTCGTCACCAACCAGCATTTCGATTTCTGTCGCTACGTCCTAAACGTCGTGTCCGGGGAAAGGTGACTCCTTGGCTTCGTCATTCGGTCCACAAGAAGAGCCAGTCGCGATGTGCCCAGATTGCTGTTCACAACACTGGTGTCGCCCATCCTGGAGTTTTGCTGCTCGGTGGGGAATTCGGCAGCCAGGCAACTTGTTGCCTCCCTCCAGTCAGTGCAACGTCGCGCTTCCTACCTTCTTATGGCTCCAACTTGGCCCCCGAACACACATCCTATCGAGCACTGCACCTCCTCTGTTCAGTCGGCAGGGACCCGCTTTAACATCGTTCTTAAGCGCGAGACACATGGACGGCAGAATCGTCCGATCCGACGTCCGATCCGACAGTCCGAACGCCGCTCCGAATCGCCGCACGCGACAGTTTCAGACACACGCTTCCGACCTTGCATGCGACAGGATGATCCGTTCGGCTCCGCCCAGGAGATCCAAGCACTCCAGCGAAGGTCCGCGTTCACAGATCTCTGGTCCCAGGTTGACGGTTTAGCTCACACGAGCGAAGTTAGAAGCTCGTTCTCGTTAGCGCGTGTATTCTTTGCCGGGGCCATCTTTCTCGAATGGGTCAGCGGGATCCACGCGTCCGGCTTCCCGGCGCCCGTCCCGTTTTCTTGTTCGTCCCGCCAGACCCAGTACGTCATCATGACGTTCGCGCTAGCTGTGCTCTCATTGGCTGGACGCATCCGACAATCCGTCCACCGTGCGAAACTATCTGGCGCGTTGGACGCACGTCGGATCGCCGATCCGACGTCTGAAGCGACCAAATTTTTCGGATCAGGCAGTCGTATTGCCGGATCGGACGTCGGATCGGATGGATTTTTCGCGCATGTGTCTCGCGCTTTAAGTAGCGGCCACGCGGCTCCTAGCCACTTCTGTGCTACCGGACTCCTCGCCTCCGTCCGCCTCCTCCCTGTGGCCTGCTCGCACTGGTGGACTGCAGCCCCTTTTAACCCGTACGCTTCGTCACTAGAACCCCTTCGCACCCCGTGCAATGCAACTTCGAAGGTCCCCCCGCCAGTATCCAGTTCACCACCAATCGATAATGTCTCACTTCGAATATTCACCAAGGGCGTCACGACCCCCCTGCGGAGCACCTAACTCGATATTTTATTCCGATCACGGGAGTGGGCTCCAGCAGGCGGACTGGATGCACCATCCTGTACACTCGTACGCCCTATAGATGCTTAGTTCACAATACCAACTATTCTGCTCGAGAAAACTATGATATAGTGACTCATTTTACCCTATTTAATACACACTATGTGCTAGCATTAGCGCCTGCCTATAGGGAGTATTCACTGGACGCCATATTTGTGGGTGGTGTTCAGAGCGCATGCTCAGGACGAGCTCACATCAATAGGCTGCCAAGACCGGCACTATTGATGGTGCGGAATGCACGTTGCAAAAGAACTGTGGAAGCTCGCCATCAGCACGCGCTCAGCAGCTGCGCACACAGCTATGGCCGCCAGTGAATACTCCCTATTAAATGCGACAGAAATCATCCGAAACCAACGTTATTTCAACACGCTTCCATTGCCTTCCATAGCGGCCGCCGCGCTTTTGGTGGTGAGCTAGGGCGGCGCTGAGCAGAACACTCGGTCCCTCCAAGCCGTTCACGTGATATTTCTTGGCCCGCGGAGAAAGCAGGTCGCCGTAACTACATTCGCAGCATGCTCCTTGGTGCTTGGGCAATTTAGCAAAAGGTCTATTATACCCAATTTACACGGCAGCGTAAAAGCCGGTTCTCACATGAAGCGAAGCGCTGATGGAGTGCTGCTCACGTGTCGTCAGCTACTTATCGTCTGCCATGAGCAACACTTTTGACGGTGCTATACAAAGCTGGTGAACGCTCCCGTCAGATCGCGCTTAGCGCTAGGCCAGCCTAGAGTGCCTTCATACACACGCGCGCTTTTGCTTGAGTGGTGACATCTCAGCCATTTTCACGCCCAATTGTTTTTTTATGCGTTTTGAAGTGCGCGCAATATGGTGTCACTCAGCTCGAGCGCGCAGCTTTGGCTAATGCATAGACGCCATTTCATCGCCCAAGTCACGCACCGAGCGCGCGAGAGTGTCACGCGCTGGCACATTCAGTGCAACAATGGATGTCTTCACCCTGAGACAGACAGACATGTAGGCACCCTAGGCCAGCCGGGTCAGCGTAGAGTTCCTATATAGACCTTTCCAATGTTTACAAATCCACAGCTCAGCGTGCGATCTCCACAGCTCAGCACGCGCGTGTGCGTCGCTTCGGAAAGCGAGCAAATCACGCGCGATATGCACGAACACTGAAAATGAAACCGGCCAGCAGCCCTTTTCTGGAAAGTCTATAGGCTCCCTATGGGAGCCAGAGTTGCGCGTTTGATTCCACGTGCCGCATGCCGCCCTCGCCGCTATTCGCCGAGATCCGATCACGTGAGGAGCCGTATCAAGTGTCGCGCAGCAAAGTAGACATTGCACGCGCCCCGGCGTACGTTTCCCGGCGTACGTTTCCCGGCGAATAGCAGCGCCGCGCGCCTCGAACGCGCGGCGCTGCTATTCGCCGAATTCAGTCACGTGAGGAGTTGTATCCACATGCCATGCATGAACGCGGAACTCTGACTCCCGTAGGGAGCCTATACAGGAACTCTAGGTCAGCGCTATGCTTGTAGCGTGCCGCTGCATGTGTGAAGTACTCAATTCACACGGCAGCTGAAAGGTGCGTTTAGCTTAGGTCCCTTAGCTCAAAGTACCTGTAGTAAATGGCGTTCTTGATCACACGATAAATAAACGGAGCACTTTGAGGTGATCTCAATTGCATTCCTGCTAAACCGCAAGAGGAGCACGTGATAGACAATTATTTCTCGAAATCGGTTTGACGCGCAATTTTTGACTCTGGTGTGTGAAATATCAAACTTAAAACGTAAATATTATGTGTGTTTGCTTTTGCGGCACTTTATTATTTTGTTTCTCTAAATCTAGAGGCACACCTAAATGAGTCTTGTTTTAAAACGTCCGAGCCGTCTGGCCACACTGGCCCTAAATCATCTGCGTTTACGAGTTTCCATTGCGAGGTGGGAGACCTTTTTCTCTTTAGCAGCTCCCTTTTTCCGTAAATTTTTCACTGAAGTCTTGGGCGGGAGGGACGGACGACTCGTCTACAACCTAAAAAAAAAAGCTCGCAGTGGTACATCCCATTTGGGTTTGTAGCAGACATTGCTTTTCACGTGCCGCCGCTGCTACCTGCTGGCTGGATTATGCGTTCCTCGTTAATGTATTATTTCATCACATTTGTGTTCAAAACAATTTCATAATTTGCTACTGATATGTATTCAATTTGTTATAAATTATAATGCATTAAACAAGATATATATATATATATGCATCTGTGATTTTTGTTTTGAGTTCGTGGGTTCGAGGCTACTCCCTGTAGCTGTAAAGGGAGCTTGGCAAGCTCCGCTTAATGCAGACGTCCCTTAGCGAAAGGGACCTTCAGGCGCCGTGTGATTATAATCTCCAGCTCCCTTTACTACAGGTACCTGTGCTAAAGGTATCTTTACGCTGCCGTGTGAATTGGGTATTAGTCTGCTGTAGCTACCGGTGACGCTGCGGCGTTTGCGAGCACGCTGCTGTTGGTCTACCGTAGATGCAAGCCGCGCCGCCGCGACAAACTAGATTGGCGGCGACGCTCCGCCATTTTTGACTGAATGGCGTCCCAACATACACCAGCTTGGCGGCACTTGTTTATAAAGCTCTAATTCCACCCAGCGCTTTAGGCACCCAGTTCAAAGAGTAGATATTTGCACGTGACACTGGAGACACGAATGTTTCGGAGACTTATACGTAACGTTGGAAAACGTAAGGAAATGGTGCTGTGTTATCCAGCCTTTAGAGACTGTGGAAAGTGCCCGGACGCAATAAACCTATTGCGAAATTACCCAAGCGTCCAGAAGAATGCAGGGAATGTAGGTCTACGCGCCGCGCGTGCTGGCGTCTGCAGCGGGAACTTTTAAAGCAAAAACCTAAAACAAACTGCACCTTGCAGGCGCGTTCGTCGAGGTCTTATTTTGGTTATTTAGTTCCAATATCTTTTACGGGGAAGGTGAGCACGTGCGGCGCGTACACCTACATTCCCTGCATTCTCTCTGATGCTTGGATAATTTAGCGAGCCTCAACATCCTTCTGTTTAGGGTGATGACATTCTTTGTTGTACCATAGCCTCCTCAATACTGACAAAGCGTGGCAGATCGTCACTAGAAGCGGCCACCGAAATTGAAAAGATAGGGCGGCAGACAACGGATGAGAGGAGAGCCACGTGACGGACGGCCCGCTGAGGCGAGACGCCAAAGCACACTTCTTTCGAGCGACTTGTGCTCCTCGCGTTCCTCGCGCTACCGCTTCTTTTCTCGTCGGGCTTGAGAACCCCATGTTTCTGGTCCTCGCCGCTGCAAAAACTGTGCGCTGACGTCCAGGTTTTCTGAAAAATTATCTGTGCTACCAGTTCCTCGCGCTCCAAATCAGCGACCGGGAACTCTATGGCTCCGTCGTCGAACAGCCAGGCTTTGTGAGTATAGAGGAGGCTATGGTAGTACCCAATGCCGATAGCACCCGCTCACGGGAAAAATTCAAATAAACTGCCGAAAACAAAATGTCCCGTAGCACAGTCAATGCTAAAAGCGCGTGCAGAGCGACGCTGTTTCACGCTCTCCAGAACAAAGAAAAAATTAAAATAAGCGTTGGGAACAAAAATGGCCATGTGTCATGACACTAAGCAAGACGCCTATGAAAGCACCCTAGGGTAATTTAGAAAAGGGTATATACGTACCTGATCACAAGAAGCGTGGAGCCAACGAGTGTTGTGGAAAAGACAACTTGAATTGCAAACACCACGCTCGCGAACGTAGCCATGGCGTGCCAGCAATCCTGCTCGCAGTGGCCGTGCAAAACAGTGCCCTTGCTGAAGTGTGAAGCATCGGCGTCGGAAAGAATGCACTGACATTCCCTCAATTCCTGCAAATGACAAGGTAAGCTCACAGAAGGAGGAAGTTGAACTCAATTATGCTGACTTACGATACAGGGAACAACTCAGTCTCAATTCAACATTCTCCTTAATGCACTCTTTGTCGCCATGTTTATTTGTCAAAAGTGTTAGCAACTAATAAGTTGTCTTGTTGAAATCGCTGGTTTTGTTTTATTAAAGAAATCACACTCTTCAGGCTGCGACTAAAAGGTTGTAGAAGGAAGCCTGGAGGGCGCATCTAGCAGCAGTGCCTCCAAAGTGGCAACAAATTACGTCACGAGCCTCAGTGTAATGCAGCAGATGATCGGAAACCTGGTGGTTGGTTATCCAAGTGCAAGCGAAGCAGGCGCGCGCACGCGGGTATCGCTGAAGTTCCTGTCCTCTGTTCTTGCTGCAGACAAATCTACAACGGAACCGATGGATGCCGTATCTAATTCCATTACCGTGCCGCCACCATGATCGCAGTGGTCTGAAACAGCAAACGGTTGCAGCGACACGCGTCTGAAATCTATCAGCAGATAAAATGAAGCCGCGGTAAACGCGCCAGTCGGAGACGCATTTTGGGACCATAGTTCAACCCACAATTTGAGCCGCTATGTAGAACGCACGCTACAACTTTCCCGTGAAGAAGCCGTGTCGCAAAACACACACACACACACACACACACACAAAGGAAAACGCATTGGCTTGTTTGTCTTCTTGTCTCGAGTTACTTACGGTGAGGTTTAAGGATTGAGCAGGGCAGCCCGCAAAGCAGGGCGAGAAATACTGAGTTCCTGTACTCAGGTCACACACTGGATGATGGATGCTTGCAGAGCAACGGCAGTCCCTGTTACAGTTGTTCTCAATCGTCTTGCTTCGGAAGAAAAGAATACATCAAAATGTCACCTTTAGATAGTTATCGACAAAAAGAGAATCATTGCACAAGTCGCGGAAGGAGGAGCAAAAAAGGTCTACCGGTGCTTTGCAAAGAAAACCCAACAAAAATGACATACGTTCTTGATGACAACTGCTGTAATCAGTGAAATAATGATAATATCAGGGCGTACTTTTTGGATGTCCGACCCTCAGCACACACTCGTTGCCTCGAGACGTGCTTTGGGTGCGCTGCACGCTCGAGTTTAACCAGACACCGAAGCGTTATTATCGAAAATAGAAAGCTAGCACTAGAGGCGGAACAACTGAAAGACCTCCCTGCCGTTTTCATCCTGTCAGTGACTTACAGTATGGTTCAGTGTCATCATGTCCATCACCATAAAGCGCCGATGAGGTGTGTCGGGTCATTGCTGAATTCTTTTTTTTTTTGGCTATAAGTTAATGGAGTTTATTATCCTTTTTTGTTGTTTCCAGTCATCATAATTATATCGTACCGCGTATAGCAAAAAAAAAAGTAAAAGTTAACTTTAACCAAAATTTATTTTTGTCACTTCCACGTGAATCCCTACTTGTCGTTTAAGTCATTATCCTATTAGATCAACAAACAAACATTTCTGCCCATCGACAAAATAAAATCAGCAGTCTGGTGAATTGAGAATGTTCCACAGTACCACATGGCTGCAAACATTGTTCTTTTGTGACCATTTGGTGTCTCTCAAAGATAAAAGATAGCTAATAATGTTTTTGAGAGGTCTGTGAGCAGTGTTTTTGTTTGCTGCTCTAAAGCTGCAGTCAAACTGATCATACGTCATACAAAAGACATTGTGTCATACAAAAGACAATGACAGAATTCTCTGCGGTTTTCGAAGCATGTTTACGAGGGACAACGCCCCAGTTTGTGACACTGTGGTAAAATGGTGCAAACGCTTCTCCTGTGTCCAAAAGCATTTCAAGGACGACGACCAAGTGATTGCTGAAGTGGAGCGATACCTGAACACTCAAAATGATTAGGAATTTGTTTTCCAAGCGAGGGAAGACGACGACGTTTTCAGGCAATCAACGCCATTCTTCTTGCTCTTTTGGAAAAATCGGATTTTTCAAAGTTTCGTGATATTATCCAGTCAGATTTTCTTATTGACGTCAAGCGGTGAGGTCCCGGACGCGGCGCATGGTCGCCCTTTCCCTGTAAACACCGGACCGACGACCTGGGCAATGGACCAACCGCCACCAGCTGAAACACCCGAAAGAGGGGATCCTGGGGTGCTATGTTGCGCTTTTTGGACTCCCAGGAGACTAGGGAGAAGGAAGTGACGACAACGACACAGCAAACGCAGATTGGATGTTGACAGAAGAAAACGAAATCAACACCCAATCTGCGTTTGCTGTGTCGTTGACGTCACTTCCCTCTCCCTAGTCTCCTGGGAGTCCAAAAAGCGCAACACAGCACCCCTGGACCATCACATGGCAAGTCACCACCTCAATGTACCGCCCCACCACCGCCAACCCTTATCCCCGGTGACCTCAAGAAAGCTCCCATTAAAAGACGATGTACAGACCCAGACTCATATCACGACTATGATGATGACAAGACCTCTACTTATTCCGTTCAAGATGCTGTTTTACATTCCAATGAAGACGAGTCTCCAGAAGATCCCATGCAAGTTCTGGAAGCCGATGAAGATAATCGGCCCTTTATCCCAGTCCACTACAAGAAAAACCGCCCTGCGGGCATTCCAGTGGTTTTCAAACCCAACAGTTCCAATGCATCCTTGTGGAGGGTAAATCCTAACGAAGTGGCCAAAGAGATCATTGATGTTGCACAGGAGAAGCTACTCTCACATAGGATGAACAAAGACGGGAGCCTTTTCGTGAGTGTTGCATCTCTGCAAGCAGCCAACAGATTACTAGCCATATCGACCCTTTGCTCTATTGAAGTGGCGACAAGTGTACCCCACTCCTACTCACGGAATCTGGGAAAAATCAAAGGAGTACCGATCGAGTATACCGACGAAGAACTACTAGACTATTTTAAAAATCTTGGAGTTATTTCTGTTCAACGGCAAATTTCGTATAGAAGACAAGAGGACGGCAACGTGGAACACCGCAAGACTGAAAGCGTGCTCCTCCACTTCCGCCCAGACCAACCAATGCCTACACGCGTTCTCTTAGGCTTCACAAGTAACACTGTTGACGAGTATTTTGGTCCTCCAGTGCAGTGCTATCATTGCCAAAGGTACGGACACATTGCGCAATACTGCCGTGGACCACGGCGCTGCAAAGTGTGCGCAGGTCCGCACCACCACAAGACTTGCACCAATCGGCAAGAACCCAAGTGCGCAAACTGCGGTAACCAGCATGCCGCTACCTTCTCTGGGTGTCAACGCAGAAAGGCTGCCTCGGTTATCCGAAGACAGGACGTCTTAAATGGCAAGGAAAATCGTGGGTTCGCGGCCACCTTAAACCCTGAAGTTGTGCGCGTCCCCTTGCCTGTCCCGGTTCCAACGGATAAGCGAGCCCAAAAGCCAACTTACAGTGACGCATTGAAGAAGACGACGAATGAAGTGAAAGAAAAACACAGAGAACGTCGGCCACATGAAGACGCACCTGAGACAGCCAGAGGAATTACATCAACTATGCAATTACTGAAATCAGCCCCTACCACTCAGACGACCATCCGACAACCTATGTCGGTATCATCAGCTCCAAGGCGCAAACGACAAGAGCAGGCTGGTGACCTTGGTAGCGTCCTTATTCCTATGCTTTTTGCTGCGTTAAGGGCCATCATAAAAGCGATCCCTGATTCAGACAACCTACCAGAAGTGCAAGCCCTGCTTGCAATGGAATCCTTTTTGAAAGTAGGACCCTTCCACCGCTAGGAGCGGATGGCCTCGGCTCAAAGTCACAACTTCAAGAAACGTACAAACGATAAACCCGAAATTCCAAGAATACTACAGTGGAACGCTTGCAGCCTAAATCCCCGCCTTCCAGATCTTCAGAGGTATCTACTCTCCACTAGGATTGATATACTGGCGATTCAGGAACCTAACAACGATCCATCCAACTGCCGCCTGTCGCCCTACGTAGCCTATTACAGTTCTACAAAAAGGAAGGACTGCAAGCCACGATCTGTAGTCTTTGTTCGCGCCGGCCTTCCTCAATCGCCAGTAGACCTATCTTCAGTTTCGAAGAGTAGTGCTGAATATGCTGCTGTATCTGTTAGCTACAAAAACGTGGACTTCACAGTCGTTTCAGTGTATGTCCCTCCAAATTGCAAATGGGATGTCGGAGAGCTTTCCGATGTAAAGCAGAGAAGCAGAGGCCATCTTATACTCTGTGGAGATTTCAACGCCCACAACAAGATATGGGGTGACCGCAAAAATACAAGAAGAGGATTTGATCTTGATAGTATGACATCTTCACTTCATTTAGAGGCCCTTAATGACGGTGCGGAAACGTTCATCAGACCTGGAGTTGGCCGCAGTGTATTAGACCTGACGTTCCTGTCCCCGGATATATTGGCAGATTGGAATGCGCTAGCCGATTCCTGGGGCAGTGATCATATACCGATCATGATTACCAGCAAGTTTGCCAAAAAGACAAACAAAACTTACAGAGAGGTTCGAGTTACCAACTGGGATGTATTCCGATCTCACATGGACTTTGCTCTAGCTGGCAGCACGACAGAAGACACAACAGCCATGATTGCACGAGCCATTCAGCTGTCAACAAAGACCATTAGAGTACCATACACCCGGCCTGTTCCCGACCTCATGTACCTAAACCTAAGGGCTGCTCGACGCCGCGCACAGCGACGAGCCCAAAAAACAGATGATCTGGATGATTGGAATGAACATCGCAAGATCGATGCTAAATTTCGCCGATATACTAAGCGCCTCCAACGCCTACAGTGGAACCAACTATGTGAGTCGTTTGGTTCCCCATCGGGTATTTCGAGAGCATGGAAGATCGTCAGAGTCTTGAAGGATAAAAAGCAACCCGAGCATCCCGTTGCAGGATTAGCGCTAGCCCTAGGCCGTACTACTCAAGAAACCGCGGAGCTTCTTGCTGATGCGTTCGCTGCCCCAATTCCGCCACCACAGGGATACAGGGACAAGCCTCCAGTTCCACTGAAAACAAATCCTTGCTCAGAAATGGACGCTGACTTCACCATCACTGAACTTGATGTTGCCCTCCGACGCTCGCGCCGTCGAACCGCTCCGGGACCGGACGGCGTAACGTTTCAAGCACTGAGAAATCTTTCTTTCCCGCATAGAGAGGCCTTACTGGAGTCTATCAACAACATATGGAGAACGGCAAAAATCCCTGCAGCATGGCTCACCTCTGTAGTGGTTCCTATCAGAAAGCAAGGAAAACCCGGTGATCGGATTGAATCCTACCGGCCAATTTCTCTCACCAGTTGTGTCGGGAAATTAATGGAAAGACTAGTACTTTCAAGACTTACGTGGCTGCTTGAATCCAAAGGAGCACTGCCAGATCAACTCTGCGGATTCCGACGAAGGAGGTGCACCTTTGACGCCATTGCTGATCTCGTTTCGAGCCTTGAAAATGCCCGTTCAACTCACCAAACAGTCTACAGCATATTTTTGGACATATGCAAAGCTTTCCATGCCTTGCCACACCATACTATTCTGCGTCAACTTACACGGTACGGAATTGGTGGAAGAACATATGACTATATCGCCGCGTTCCTCACTGGCCGCAGCCTAACAGTAAGAGCTGCCGAATGTCTAAGCACTCGTCGGTCGGTGACCCAAGGCGTTCCCCAAGGAAGTGTACTGAGCCCGTTTCTGTTTAACCTTACCATGGCAGAACTTCCGCTATGCATAAACTCCGCAGAAACGTCCAGTACAACAGTTCACATTGTCGCGCCGCCGTACTATCGGCGTGCGATTGCGAGCAACGAAGAATGAACCATTCGCACCGGACGTCTGGGAAAAGGAAGCCCCCGTGTTTTATTTC